AGTTATAGTGGCGGGCGTTGTGGTGTAGCCGGTTAAGCTGCTGCCTGTGACGCCAGCATCTCATACTGGAGTGCCGGTTCGAGTCCCCTGTGCTCCACGTCCACTCCAGCTCCTGGGGAACCAGCACAGGATGGCCCAAGTGTGACCCATATGGAGTCCAGGCTCCTGGCCCTGCCTGGCACAGTCCCAGTGGTTGCAGCCATTTGGGGAATGAACCAGGAGATCGAAGATCTCTGTCTCTCTGTAACTCTGCCTTTCAAATAAACAATTTTTTTTTTAAAGGCTCAAATGCCCAAGGCAGTTTTGAGAGCTAAGCGTGTGCTGGAGCAGGAACTCCTGGGTAGGAGGCAGGGACCCAAGAACTTGAACCACCACCCGCTACCTCCTAGGGAGCACACTGGCAGCAAGCTGGAGAGGGACTGGAACCCAGGCGCCCTGGTATGGGATCACTCAGGGCGAGCGGTTCTGGCTGGAGACCAGCAAGACGGGAAAGGGCCGTAGTAAACACTCAGCAACAGCTAAGTCCGCCGCGCCCTGAATCCTCGGATCCAATGCTCCCAGCACGTTCGCACCTCCCCGCGGACCCCCGCCGGGGCCAGGTGGGCCTGGGCCCCTCGGCCAAGGTCACAGAATGAGTCTGGCCCCCACCCTGGGCCCGGGTCCTCCGCGGGGGGTGGGGGTGGGGTGAACGAGTGGATGCCCCCCGGAGAACTGGGCGAGAGGACGGACGGGGCCAGTCCCGCGGCGGGCCGGGGTCCGGGCAGCCTGGGGCGCGAGGGGCAGCCGCCCAGGGGCAAAGGCCGCGGCGCGCCCGGAGGGGGCCGCGCCCGTCCGCGGCGGCGAATCGCCGGCACCCGGACTTGGCCCGCTCTCCCGCGGGGCCCGCGCGCACTCACCTCCGCGCAGGGGGCCTCCGGCCCGGCTGAGCAAGGCGGCGGCCATGGACGACACACACCCGGCGGGGCCTCTCCCAGCGACCTCCGGCCGCGAGCTAGCGCGCGCAGTTCTGGGCTCCGGGGGCGGGGCTGACGCGCGGGAGGCCACGCCCCCCGGGCGCCAGGGGCGGGGCCGAGACGCGGCGCTGCCGGGCCGTGGACGGGGCTCCCCGAGTCCGCCAGAGCGTTAGTGAAATCTGCGAACAGGGCAAAGCCAAGGACGGAGCCTCGCACAAAGGTCTGAGAGCTCTTGTCGAAGCGGTCCTCCGCTGAAAAAGTCTTTGTGGGAAGACCCCTCTATCCGAGATCCGATGACGTCCCCTGTAAAGCTCGCGGGCACCTGCCCGGGCCCCCCGCCCCCGCCACACCCGGCAGCGTCTCCCCAGGACTCCCGGCTCGCCGCGGCCCCCAGGCCTCTGCTGCTGCTGCCCCCGCCCGGGATGTTCGCTGCCCTGCGCGGATCGTGTACGGTCTCCCGCCCGCACCAGTCTCGCTGGCTTGCAGGCCTGAGGAACGGGGTTGCCAGGGGGGCTGCACTTCTGCGTCTCGCTCGCAGCCGGCGAGCAGAGCTCCGTCGGGAACAGGGGGCGCCGCCCTGTGCCACCGTCAGTTAGATCCCACGTCCCGGCACGAGTGGGCGCCAGCGACTCCCTCCCCAGTCCCCGCACCCCAGGTGCATCTGAGCCCAGCACTGACCCACATGCCAAAAATCCTGTTCCTCCAAAAATTTGCTTCACTTCGGAGAGAACAGTCAAAAGATGCAGTAAAGTCCTTAGCTTTCATTTTTACATTGTTTTTTAAATTGATTTTTTAAAGATTTATTTTATTTGAAAGAGTAAAACAGAGACAGGAGAGAGAAAGAGAGGTCTTCCATCTGCTGGTTCACTCCTCAACTGGTCACAATGGCTGGAGCTGGGTCAATCCGAAGCCAGGAGCCAGGAGCTTCCTCCAGGTCTCCCACACCGGTGCAGGGGCCCAAGCACTTGGACCATCTTCTACTGCTTTCCCAGGCCGTAGCAGAGAGCTGGATCGGAAGTGGAGCAGCCGGGACTTGAACCAGCGCCCATATGGGATGTCGACACTGCAGGCGGCAGCTTTACCAGCTATGCCACAGCACCAGCCCCATTAAAATTTGATTATTTTTTTTTTTTTTTTTTTTTTTTTAGAGTTACAGAGAAAAAGACAGAGGTCTTCCATCCATCCACTGATTCACTCCCCAAATGACCGCAGTGACTAGCGCTGGGCCACGCTGAAGCCAGGAACTCCATTCTGGTCTCTCACATGGATGGCAGGGGTCCTACCACTTGGGCCATCTTCTGCTGCCTTCCCAGACATGAGTAAGGAGCTGCATGTGAAGAGGGACAGCCGGGACTTGACCTGGCTTTCGGATATGGAATGCTGGCACTGCAAGCAGCAGCTTAACCAGCTGTGCCACAATGCTGGCACCACAGCTTTCATTTAACCAAAAAAAAAGGCACTTAAAGTACATGCACAATACTGTGACTGTGAAGTCCAGAACAGCCGCCAGCAAAGGCTCCGGGGTGGTCCTCACCTTTCAGTCAGCCCAGCTGGGCACCAGCCGCAGGTGGGGATACAGAGCACAGAGCACATCAAGCAGGCCCTTGTTAGGACTGCATTGTTTGGTTGGGATGATGAATATGAATGTGAGTTACCTTTTTTTTTTTTTTTTTTTTGGACAGGCAGAGTTAGACAGTGAGAGAGAAAGACAGGGAGAAAGGTCTTCTTTCCGTTGGTTCACCCCCACAAATGGCTGCTGCAGCCGGTGTTCTGCGCTGATCCGAAGCCAGGAGCCAGGTGCTTCTCCTGGTCTCCCAAGCGGGTGCAGGGCCCAAGCACTTGGGCCATCCTCCACTGCACTCCCGGGCCACAGCAAAGAGCTGGCCTGGAAGAGGGGCAATCGGGACAGAATCCGGCGCCCCAACTGGAACTAGAACCCGGAGTGCTGGCACCACAGGCGGAAGATTAGCCTAGTGAGCCACACACCAGCCATGAGTTACCTATTAACAGCATGCAAGTTTCCCAGTAGAAACAGACCCAGAATTGGAACAGAGGGAAGGAACTGGCTGCTCATAGGAACTCAAGAGAACTTTTTCAATGGGTGTTGAACTTTGAAAAGTCCATGGGAGCTGGCAGTGTGGCCCAGTGGCTTAAGCTACCTGTCATGTCGGCATTCCATACAGGAGAGCCAGTTCCAGTCCCGGCTGATGCTATCTGGGAAGGCAGCAGAAGATAGCCCGAGGCCGGCACCGCGGCTCACTAGGCTAATCCTCCGCCTAGCGGCGCCGGCACACCGGGTTCTAGTCCCGGTTGGGGCGCCGGATTCTGTCCCAGTTGCCCCTCTTCCAGGCCAGCTCTCTGCTGTGGCCAGGGAGTGCAGTGGAGGATGGCCCAGGTGCTTGGGCCCTGCACCCCATGGGAGACCAGGAGAAGCACCTGGCTCCTGGCTCCTGGCTCCTGCCATTGGATCAGCGCGGTGCGCTGGCCACAGCGCACCGGCCGTGGCGGCCATTGGAGGGTGAACCAACGGCAAAAGGAAGACCTTTCTGTCTCTCTCTCTCACTGTCCACTCTGCCTGTCAAAAAAAAAGAAGATGGCTTGAGTGGTTGGGCCCCTGCCACCCACATGGAAACCTGAAAGAAGCTCCTGACTCCTGGCTTTAGCCTGGCCTAGCCCTGGCTGTTAAGGCCATTTGGCGAGTAAACCAGTGGATGGAAGATGGATCTCTCACCCACCTTTTTTTTTTAAGAGTTTTTATTTGAAAGACAGAGTCACAGAGAGGCAGAGGCAGAGAGAGAAAGGTCTTCCATCCGCTGGTTCACTCCCCGGATGGCCGCCACTGGTCAGAGCTGTGCCGATCCAAAGCCAGGAGGCTCCGGGTCTCCCAAGCAGGTGCAGAGGGCCAAGGACTTGGTCCATCCTCCACTGCCATCCCAGGCCAAGCAGAGAACTGGATTGGAAGTGGTGCAGCCAGGACTAACTGGTGCCCACGTGGGATGCCAGCACTGCAAGTAGCAGCTTTACCCGCTACACCACAGCGCCAGCCCCTCCAGCTTAAAGTTAATGTACACCCTGGGAGACAGCAGCGATGACTCAAGCAGTTGAATTCCTACCACCCACATAAGAAATCTGGATTGAATTCCCAGCTCCTGGCTCCCACCTTGCCCAGTGCTCCTGGGGGGTGAAGCAGCAGATGGGAAATCTCTCTCTGCCCTGTCCGCCCTGCCTTTCAAATAAATAAAAATGAAATTTTTTTAAAAAAAAAGTTCATTTTTTTGCAAAACAACTGAAATCCATGCATACAAGGGGCTATCAAAGGTTCATAAAAATGCTTAAGAAGAAACTATGCATAATTTCAGAAATTTTTTGCACCAAAATAAACTTGCCTTTTCATTCCATTTTTCACTAACTTTTTGAAGTACTTTGTATCATGGTTGTGATGAGGGTAAGAAGTCTATATATCTGTCAAAGTGTATCAAACTGTACTCACATGACATGAATTTTGGGGCCAGGGTCCTGGCGCCGCAGGTTAAGCCCCCACCTGCAATGCCAGCATCCCAATGGGCACTGGTTTGTGTCCCAGCTGTTCCACTCTGATCCAGCTCCCCGCTCATGTGCCTGGAAAAGCAGCAGAAGCTCCTGGCTTTGGCCTGGCCCCACCCTGGCCATTGCAGCCATTTGGGGAGTGAACCAGCAGATGGAAGATCTGTCGCTCCCTCTCTCTGGGTAACTCTGCCTTTCAAATAAATAAATCCTAAAAAAAAATGAATTTTACTAGTGTAACATATACCTTAATAAGCCCATTTTTAAAAGTATGTATGTAAACTTTCAATTCTCAAAGCCTCCTGGCAAAATATAAATAAAAATGATAAAAACTGCGAGCACAATGCTCTTGGCCAAGCCACCCTAGAAGCCAGAAATCCCAGAAACATGAGATAGCTTACAGAAAGGCCGTGTGAGCAGACAAGACAACCGTGGGGCACGCCCCTCCCTGCTCCTCCTGCAACACCAGGGCCCAGTCAGGAGACGAGACAGGTTGACACAAACTGAGAAAATCTTTCTTTTATTAGTGTCTCTTGTGGCAAAATAACATTTCATACAAATAAGTCAGCAGCCAACGGTCGACACAGACAACACAGACTGGAAGGAGGACCTGGGGGCAGTGGGCCAGAGGAGGACAGATCAGGTCACTGAGGCTTCTTCTATTCTGTGAAAAATAGACTCGCAGGGAAAAATATAGATTCGCACAACTTCAATGACTCTACATGATCTTTTGTAAAACAAGGGAGCACACACCCCCCCCATCCTCCTGTGGCTGAGATGCTGGGTGACGTGGAATGTGAGTGACGCGAGGTTCAGCAACTGGGCTCCCACGCAGGCACAGCGGCGCGCTCCATGACAGGGCTCCCCGGGCTCTGCCGAGGGTTTACAGAGCAGACAGAGCAGACTCCCTCACTGATGTGTGGTGACGCTGGCCACCAGAAGGTGACTTCACAGAGAAGGGACGCCGGGAGCCTCCCGGGCATGGCAGGACACGCTAAGGCAGGGCTCACCTGATTTGGCATGAGACACAGCCTACTAATTCCACTCCAGAAACAAGTCCCATTTCAACTGAAGAGCAAGTTGAAGATCGCCCAGTCACTGCCGGTGAGGGGTTAGCCTCAAACATCCCCAGCACTGTCCCTGTGCGCTGAAGTCAGATGGCCCGACTGGGGCGTCTGCAGGAAGAACGGCCCCTGAAAATGCTTTCTCCACCAGGAGGCAGTGTGGAGCCACCACCATGAAAATGACACCAGCCATAGCCTCCTTGACTCCAGCGGTCATTCCCTACACCTGCACGACAGCACATGGAATGAAATAAGCCAGGGTTGTCTTTGGAGAAGCTAGAAGGGCACCTTAGCCCAAGTCTGTTCAGGAAAAGAGAGGTCCCCTCTGGGAGATCCCGAGGCAGAGGGGCTGGAACAAGGCCAGAAGGAGGGGCTGCAGGCAGTGGGCCCTGTGGCACCCAGTGGGCCTGCTGCCCTGCTGGGACGTGGTCCTCCAGGAGCTGCCCCTGCGACGCCAGCTCTAACAGAAGACATGGTCTCCCCAGGCAGCTAGCCTTTGCTTTTTCCCTCCTCTGCACCACCCACAAGAAACTTACTGTCAATGGCCAAATTCCTTAACAACCTGGCCTCCCGAGGGAACTTGTGACTGGCTCCCTTACTGTCAGAGAGGGTCTGACTGCCAGCTGTCACCTCAAGCTTGCGCTTCAAACTCATTCCAGTGAACAGTCCCAGTGGTGACGCGGCTCCAGATTTCCTGAGCAGCCAGACCCAGGAACACACAGCCCCACAGGCACAACAGGAGCAGACTGGGCAAATTCCTGGCCTGCGGGGCACAGGTTGAGCGCTGGGCCTCAAAGTGGTCCCCAGGGAGCCCCAGGCAAGCTACCAGCAAAGGAGACCCAGCACTACTCAGGCCACAGGGCCCTTCCTCCCTCCTCAGGGTGCTCATCCTAGCACAGGCTGCCACTGCAGACATGGGCAGCCCACCAGTGCGCAAGATGCAGCCTGCTCTGGCCATTTCCAAGACACGCTCAACGGCGTCACACTCTAGGAGTTCCAGAAACCACGCTTAATTAAATGTCACAGAGCACAAACTCCCGACTGGGCCCCTGTCACAGAGAGAAGGGATGGATCATCCTGCAGCTCGTCCCACGAGGAGCAACGAGAAGCAGAAGGTCAGGGGACAGTGCCGATGACTGTCCACGGTGAGGAGGGACGATGGCCGCGCAGCTCGTCCCTGCAGCCTAAGGGACAGAGCCACACTTAAGGCACCTGGATTTGTGGTCGGCTCCAGTTCTGAGAGTCATGTCTGGTGATGAGGCCCCATTCTGCAGCGGGGCGTCCAGGGCCAGCACACAGCGGTAACCTAGGGCTTTCTCAGTGAGAACGCCGCCAGCACATGGCATCGCCAAGACTCTGACTTGGCTCAGAGGACTGGGCAAAGGTTCAAGGCCACTTACACTCTGGAATCCAAACAGGGAGCAACAATGGTCAGTGGAGGCCCAGGGGATCCGGGGGGCAAAGGCTGGCCCTCCTTCCCTTGGTCCCATATGCCCTTTTCCCCCCAAGTACCGTGGGACACAGCTCTCCTGTCTCAGGCACTGTGACTTAGCCCACACTTGGGCCCTTGCTACAGACACTTTTCTACCTACACTAAACAGGCCCTGACCACAGGACACCCTTCTCAGAAGGCCATGGTCTGGGCTGAGCGCCTGCAGCCACCCACACAGACAAGCTAGGGCACCGAGGTGGCAGCAGCCTGTCCACTGAGGGCCCCGGGTACAGGCACCCACAGGACGTGCGTGGAAGTTTTCCTGAGCCTCCGTCACCCTTTCCAGACAACCAGAACAGCTCCAATAGCAATAGGAAAGGCAGACAGAAACACTCTAAGAAATCAATCCAGAGAGTTTCAGAGGCAAAGCCAACGCCCCCGGCCACGCTAGGTGGAGAAATCAAATCCCCGCTGCAACACAGCTCTGTCTCCCCACACACGCCAGGCCAGGCCTGGGGGCCCGAGCAGGACCGTCAGAAGTTCTAACCACACACCACACATGCCAGGAAGACCACTGACATTTCATCAAGCCTCCCCAAAAGAAGTCTGGAAATAAAAAAACCAAAGTACAACGAGGCCCACTCTGGCCTCAAGAGATCGGACACTTTCTGTTTCAGATACTCAGAAGTTAGGAGCCAGGAGCAGCAGAGTGAGCGCACTTGGCCTCCACAGTGAGGCCAGGAAGGCACTGTCAGGCGAAGCCTTGGTCTATGCCCAGGATCCTGCCAAGGACCCCTGAAGGCCTAGAGAAGCCAGCCTTCCGCGTGGGCAGCCCCGCAGAGCCCCAGGTCCTCCTCCCTCCCGCTTCGAGATTCTTCCGGCTGGTTTTAGACTAGGCACAAGCTGAGGGCAGCTGTGCCGACGGCAACACTGGCAGTGAGAGGAGGAGTCCCTGGCAGAGGCAGACCCACCTTTCAGCTTCCCCGGCACCCAGAAACCTCTCGGCCTGGCAGAGCGATGCCTGGAGAGACCAAGTTGTCAGAACAACCAACAGACAGCTAGAACTACATGAAAATAAACTTCTTTTTTAATCTGGGTTCCAGGCACCTTACCCTAATCTTTTACTTTACTCTAGTTCCTCTGGGACCTAAGGGGAGGGGCGCTGGGGAGAAAAAGTACTGGGGAAGAAACAGCACTGCTTGGCACCTCCCTTGGAGCACAGGAAACTGCCACCCCAGCTCTGGCTACCTGGGGCCGGGTTCCAGACGTGTGGTGACAGACAGCAGCATCGAGCCCGTGGGCCAGGACCTCGTGGCCGCAGCCGAGCGCCTCCCTGTCCACTCCTGCCGCGCTTACTGGCCTCCGTTATAGGCATAGTCAGCCTTGTTGTGCATTACCAGCTTGTTGTCCACAAAGTAGAAGCTGTCAGAGCGGGTCTCATACGGATTTTCAATCATCAGACGAACTGCAAGTCAGGGCAAGAAAAAAGGCGGAGTGAGTGAGTCTGCCCCGGGACCAGCTGGGAAAGAGGCCGCATCCCCTGCGAGGGCCCTAAGAAGCGCTTCTGGAGCATGGGGGTACTCCCTGCCAGGACAATGAGGCGAGGGCAGAGGGAGCCAGCCCCCACAGGCAGGGCCCCACCCTGCCGCGACAGCCTCTTCCACACAAGAGGGGAAGCAGCTCGCAGCTGCCCCAGCCTGGACTCCTGCGGCCAGGGCCCCAGGGAAGTGTGCTGACCTCTTGCCAACAGGAACCACAGCCACTCACTGACCCGGGCAGGCCCTGGCTGCTGGCCCATTGGCCACTCTAGACACTCCTGTCCAGATCCAGAAGGCTGCCCGCCCTGTGCCCACTTCCTGTGAATGCCAGGTGGGGATGAGGGCCGGGAGCAGAGCGCACAGAGCACAGAGCCCTCTCCAGAGACGGCTCAGGACTCGCTCACAGATGACCCAGCAGCGGCAGGTCTGCTCACCTTGGGGTCTAAATGTGATCTCCCAGCGGTTCAGACAACCACCCCGACCTCAACCACACAGGGCAGGGACGTGACCTCGGCCACGGTCTGAGTCAGTGAAGCCACGCCACTCAGAGTCCTCAGAGGTCTCAAGTGCTCTCAGTTCCCACTGTGCTAAAAAGGTACAACTCGTTTTTCTGGTTTTTTTTGTTTGTTTGTTTTTTTTTTGTTTTTGTTTTTTGTTTTTTTTGGACAGGCAGAGTGGACAGTGAGAGAGAGAGACAGAGAGAAAGGTCTTCCTTTGCCGTTGGTTCACCCTCCAATGGCCGCCGCGGCCAGCGCACCGCGCTGATCCGGTGGCAGGAGCCAGGAGCCAGGTGCTTTTCCTGGTCTCCCATGGGGTGCAGGGCCCAAGCACCTGGGCCATCCTCCACTGCACTCCCTGGCCACAGCAGAGGGCTGGCCTGGAAGAGGGGCAACCGGGACAGAATCCGGCGCCCCGACCGGGACTAGAACCCGATGTGCCGGCGCCGCTAGGCGGAGGATTAGCCTAGTGAGCTGCGGCGCCGGCCCACAACTCGTTTTTAAAAACGCTTGAACTCATCCAGGCCAAAGTTACCCGGTGTATGTCCAGACCTCCAAACTCTTGCTGCTCACTGGGTTTCAGAGGTAAAACTCGGAAAGCTTGTAACCTTTTCATGCAACAGCCACTCACTGCAGCCTGGCTGGGGAGGTCCAGCCAGCACAGACTGTCACAAACACCCTGCCTCACATCTCTGCCCTCCCACTCTGACCTGAACAGTACTCCACACAAGCAGAGAGCGCATGGTTTTCAACAGGACAGCCTTTAAGAGCCTGGGACTCTAAGACACCAGCCAGTGTACATGCACCCTCCCCACAAGGCAGCTAAAGCCAGGCACTGTGCACAGGAGTCCACTCACATCCCCCAGTTACCAGCTGAGGGGCCGGGACAGCCAGGGCGAAGCCCCAGACACAGAAAGGCTGCTCCTCCTCTCCAGCTCAGCCATGATGCAGCTTCTCTCTCAGGTCCCGCCCCGACTCCACTTCATCTAACTGCAGGCCTAACATCTTTTTGCCTTTTTTTTTTAATGTATTTAAAAGTCAGCATTACAGAGAGAGACAGGGAGAGACATACAGAGTGAGAGATCTTCCATCTACTGGTTCACTCCCCAGATGGCCCCAATAGCCAGGGCTGGAGCAGGTCAAAGCCAGGAGCTTCTTCCAGGTCTCCCACACGGATGGCAGGGGCCCCAGCACTTGGGCCAGCTTCCACTGCTTTCCCAGGTGCATCAACACAGAGCTGGGTCGGGAGTGAAGCAGCCAGGACTTGAACTGGCACTCCCCTGTTGGCACTCACTAAGGCACACACTGATGTAGGCATTTAGGGAGTGAATGAGCAGATGGAATCTGTCTACCTCTCTCCCTTTCAAATCTTTTAAAAAAATTTTTTTAAGAGTCAAGGGATACATACTGACGTCCTCAGAGAGCTGGGGAAACTCATAGATATGTTCACAAGTGTTCCTGCTGCTGGGAATGCAGAAGCCGAAGTCAAAGTCAAAGTTTTTCAGCAAGCGCTCACGGAAATAGTGCCGTTCGATCATCCGGAAGTTGGACACAGGTTTGTCTCCCACCGTGAACTCCACCCTGCAAGTGAAATCTCTGTGACTCCCACGTGGCCTCCTCCCTCCTCTACGCCAACCCCAAACCCAACCAAGAACATTCCTCCATGTGAACCGGCAGAACACTCCCCTCAGGAAAGAGTGGTACTCACGTAGCCCCCACTGTCCGGAGGCGGAGAAACGCTGGTGTGAACTGATAACGGACAAAGCGTCCTGCGCTGATGTCCACGTCTCCACCTTCTGCCTCCTCGTCCTCCTCCTGGTCTGAAAATGCACCCAGAATCTTCAGTGTGCCCTTTCCACACCGCCGGCCAAACCCCATGACGACAACCGATTTGCAGTACCACCTCCCACAGGGTGGGCGGCCAGTGTGTGCTGCACACCTGCGAAACACCAGGCCCTGGCTACATGCTTTGCACAAACCCCTCCACCACCCTATGAGGCAGTAGCACCTCCACCAGCCAGAGCAGGAAGCCCAAGTTCAGAGAGGTTGAAGAACATGACTGAAGCCCTTCAAACAGCAGATGAAGGAAATAGGGATTTGAATCCAAGTCTCCCTGACTTGAAGCCTGGCTTAAACACTGAGCTTTTTGCTCTTTATGTAACTGGGGGGCTTGAGCCTTATCCTAAGAGTGAAGCTGGAAACAGAGCTGCAGTACTAGCCACTGTGCAAAAGAAAGAGGCCACCAGGGCCAGCATTGTGGTACAGCAGGTTAGCAGCTGCCTGCGATGCCAGCATCCCATAGGAGTGCCAGCTCAAGTCCTGGCTGCTCCACTTCTGGTCCAGCTCCCTGCTAATGTGCCTGGGAAGGCGGTGGAAGACGGCCCAAGTGCTTGGGCCCCTACCACCTGCATGGGAGACCCAAATGGAATTCTGGGCTCCTGGCTTTGGTCAGGCCCAGCCCCGGGCATTGCAACCATTTGAAAACTGAACTAGGGGGTCTCTCCCCTCCCTCCCTCTTTGTAACTCCCCCTTTCAAATACATACATAAGAAACTAGTAGTGGGTAAAGCTACCACCTACAGTGCCATCATCCCATATGGGCGCCAGTTTGAATCCTGGCTGCTCTACTTCTGATCCAGCTCTCTGCTATGGCCTGGGAAAGCAGTAGAAGGTGGTCAAGTCCTTGGACCCCTGCACCCACATGGGAGACCCAGAAGAAGTTCCTGGATCCTGGCTTTGGATTGGCCCAGTTCTGGCCGTGGTAACTATTTAGGGAGTGAACCAGTGGATGGAAGACCTGTCTCTTTCTCTACAACTGCCTCTCTGTAACCTTGCCTTTCAAATAAATAAATTTTTTTTAAAAAAGGTGGAACTAGTCAAAAAGTTCTTTCTGGAATATAAACATTTCTGTTTGCTTCAGAAATTATTTCAGAATTATGAGAAATTATTTTGTTATTTACTTCGAAGCCTTGGGGTACTGTACTTCCTGGGACTGAGGTCTAGTCAAGGCCACTCTAGGCCCAGCCCTCGAGCACCTGGGCGAGGGTGAAGCACGTGAGTGATGGTCCAACGTGTATGGCCTCCACCAGGTGAATGCTGGCCTGCTGCAGAACATTCCTAAACCCAGATCCGAGTTGTAAAACGGACTCGAGAACCGTTCTACTGTGACCAAGGCACCTGCACCCTCCGGGTCTATGCTGAACACGGACCTTCTCAGCATCAGCCATCTCTGCCAGTGACACCTCCAGAGTGGGCAGCCACACTGAGGAGGGTTCACACCTGCAGATTCTAGAGCCCGGGCTCCAAGACGGGATTCCAAGAGTGAGACCAAACCTTCTCAGGGGCTTGAACTCACCAGAACAAGGGCAGCAGGAAAGTGGTGGCTACTCCACGTGAGTGAAGATCCTCAAACACAGACTGGAGAGTTTGAGAATGCAGACACTTTCTAGCATCTGTGGTGGCCCTCCTGACAGAGGTCAGTTTTGTCTGAAATGACTACTCTGTGCCCAGTCTAATCCAAAGCCACACAGCCATGGTAGCCCTGGAATCCCTGAGACATCCAAAGTACCCGGATGAGCGACTTGGGATGAGAACACCACAGACCCAGGAAGCCAGAGGCCCTGACTTTAGGCATCTTGGTCAGAACCAGCTTACGACAGCATAAAGAACATCAGATGGGGGCGAGACCAGGGCTTTAAAGTTGGCACTGTAATTACTCTGAGCTGAAACTCTCAAGAAAGTCTTTTCACTTCTCTGAGATGCTGCTGCCTGCCTTGACAAATTTTCTGGCTCTTTCTCAGTAGCAAATCAGGTAAGAAAAGCTTTGCAAATACAAGCTTTCATCTGAGTGGATACCACATAGGCGCTGTGTATGGATGTTCTAACAACTAACTCCAGGGGGCGCCAAATCTCCAGTGAGGCATTCCAAAAACTTGTAACAGGGTCTCCTGGCCAAGTATGAATCACCCTGAAAATGCTTCAGAGGCACAGGAAGTGCCCAGTCAAGCCTAATTTAAGGAATCCTAAATAGGTAAGCTATAGGTCTCTTCTTCCAGAAAAAGGCAGAGATTAAAACCAAAGCACTATGTAACGGAGAGCAAGACGAAACTGCCTTTCGGTCTGGACTGGACCCCTCAGTTTCAGGACTCGGGGCTCAGGTGAGTTTTCCTCACTGCAGTTTAATTGTAAGGAGTCCTTTGCTAGCTGGGGCAATATGATAAGACAGAGAAGGGCTGGGTGTCCGGGCTAGGGTGAAGACACTGATTAGGACCGCTGTCTCCTCTCCAGGCAGTGCCTGGACTCAAGGCCTGGCTCCAGCTCCTGATTCCAGCTTCTTGCTAATGCAGAACCGAAGGCAGAGGTGATTGCTTAAGTAACTGAGTCCCTGCCACCCACCTGGGAGACCCAGAATGAGTTCCTGGCTCTTGGCTTCAGTCTAGCCTAGCCCCAGCCACTGTGGACATTTAGAGAGTGAACCAACAGATGGGAGATCTCGGAGTGTCTAGGTCTCACTCTGTCTCTCAAATACATACATTTTTTAAAAGATGAAAGAGCACAGGACCTTAACAAGATACCATTTGGGAATTCTGGGCCTCTGTTCATTCTCTGTGAAACGGGGGCGACAGCTCGTCACAGGGGTGTGAAGACCACACGGGCAGAGGAGCAGCGAGCCACTCAGCAAAGTTGCCAAGCAGCCCTCCCGGCAGAAGGTGGACGCGGGAGCCAAGAAACGAGCCGTGACAGCCCACCGTTCTGGATTCAGACCCCTCGGCCCTGCCAAGCGGGCACCACCACCTCGAGGCCTACCTGAAACGCAAGGCTTGGCAATCTCAAAAAGCACCGTCCCTGTCTCCAAATCCCGAATCTTGAAGCGGGTGAAGTCAATACTGTAGATGTTGTCCTCGGGTTTACATAAATAATCTGAAAATGAGAAAGAAACCACTGCTGGTGAGGAATCTCCCAAATCCACACTCCAGTTGAGAAGCCAGCGCGGGTATTTTCCCTCTACAATCCACCTGCTACAGCCCCTGGGATTTCTCTTGTGTCATCGTAAGCAACAGCTGTGTGAAGAGAATCAGGGGATCCAAGAAAGCAAAAACGGGCAGGGGCTTTGCATGATGGACGGTCAGCAAGCTTTCATACAGGGGACAGGAAAGGGATTTCTCTGGAAACATCTACAACGCTTTCATTATCAACATGGTGTCACAATAGGAACTCCTTTAAGAAATCCATTTCAAAACATTTATACTGATTTAACAGACAGTATGATTGCTGCCTTATTTATAAGCCAAACATGCATATGAGAAAGCAGGGGTCAGCAAACTCTATAAAGGGCGAGACTATGATTTAGGCCGTGTACACATCTGGCCTAGCAGGTAAGACACAGGTTAAGCGAGACATCTGCCTCCCATAGCGGAATGTCTGGGTTTGATGCTGGGCTCTAGCTCCAGACTCCAGCATCCTGCTAGAGTAGGCTCTTGGAGGCAGCAGTGATGGCTCAAGTATTTGGGTTTCTGCTGCTCATGTAGGAGACCTGGACTGAGTTCCTAGCTCCTGGGTTTGGCCTGGCCCAGACCCAATCACTGCAGTCATTTGGAGAGTGAAACCAGTCAATGAGGGCTCTGTCTGCTGCTCAAATTATTTAATAAATTGGGGCTGGCACTGTGGCAGCAGGATAAGCCACCTTCTACAGTGTCAGCATCTTATATGGGTGCCAGTTCAAGTCCTGGCTGCTCCACTTCCAATCCAACTCCCTGCTAATGCACCTGGGAAAGCAGCGGGGAAGAAGGCCCAAGTGCTTGGGCCCCTGAACCCTTGTGGAAGTCCCAGATGAAGCTCCTGGCTCCTGGCCACTGCAGCCATCTGGGGAGTGAACCAGGGGATGGAAGATCTCTCTCAATGTCTCTCCCTCTCTCTAATTCTTCCAAATAAATAAATCTTTAAAATAATTATTTAATAAATTAAGGCACTGTGGCCACATGGACAATGTCAGAACCACTCAAATCTGTCTTCACAGCACAAAATCATCCACAGACAATACATAAATGAATAAGTGTGACCCTAGTCCAATAAAATCATATTTAGCGATGCTGAAATATGAATTTTATACAATAACCACATGTCACCAGATTTTAGTTTTTTTGAAGATTTATTTATTTTACTTGAAAGTCAGAGTTAGAGAGAGGCAGAGAGAGAGAGAGGTCTTCCATCCGCTGGTTCACTCCCCAAATGGTTGCAATGGCTTGAGCTGCACCAATCTGAAACCAGGAGCAGAAGTTCTTCTGGGTCTCCTCCATGGGTGCAGGGGCCCAAGGACTTGGGCCATCTTCTACTGCTTTCCCAGGCCATAGCAGAGAGCTGGATTGGAAGTGGAGCAGCCGGGACTTGAACCAGCATGCATATGGGATGCTGGTACTGCAGGCAACAGCTTTACCCACTACAGCACAGTGCTGGCCTCCCAGATTTTACTCTTATTGGCTTTGTCCAACTACTTAAAAAGGAAAGACCACTTTTAGATTTTTTTGATTGTGGGGGTTATACAAAACTATACAGTAGACCACACACGCTCAGGCACCAGGATAAACTTGCCAGTGAGGGCATTAGGTCCACATCGTTAAAACCTAAAACCTACAACCTGAGCATCACAGCAAAATAACACTGACCACAAAAATGTCACTGACTGGGGCCAGAGCTGTGGTGCAGTGGATAAAGCCAACGCCTGTGACACCAGCATCCCACATGGGAGCCAGTTCAAGTCCTGGATGCTCTGCTTCTGATACAGCTTCCTGCTAATGCACCTGGAAAAGCAGCAGAAAATGGCCCAAGTCTTTGGGCCACTGTACCCACATGTGAGACCCTAAGGAAGCTCCTGGCTTCAGTCTGGCCCAGTGCTGGCTGTTGCAACCATTTGGGGAATGAAACAGCAGGTAGAAAATCTTCTCTCTCTCTGTAACTCTACCATTCAAATAAAAAAATTTTAAAAATTAAAAAAAAAAACAAAAACAAAAACAAAACCTGGGCCGACACTGTGGCGTAGCAGGTAAAGCCACTGCAGTGCTGATACCCCATATGGGCACCAGTTCAAGTCCCGGCTGCTCCACTTTGACCTAGCTCCCTACTGATATGCCTGGAAGAGCAGCAGAGGATAGACCAAGAGCTTGGGCCCCTGCACCCACATGGGAAACCCAGATGAAGCGCCAGGCTTAGGCCTGGCCCAGCCCTGGCCATTGTGGCCATTTTGGGGGAGAGAACCAGCAGATGGAAGTTTCTCTCTCTCTCTCTCTCCATATATTATATATATATATATATACATATATATATATGTCCGCCTTTCAAATAAATAAATCTTTTTTTAAAAGATTTGTTTATTTCAAAATCAGAGTTACAGAGAGAGAGAGACCTTCCATCCACTGGTTCACTCCCCAAATGGCTGCAATGGCCAGAGCTGCGCTGAGCCAAAGCCAGGAGCTTCTTCTGGGTCTCCAGCATGGGTGCAGGGGCCCAAGGACTTGGGCCATCACCTACTGCTTTCCCAGGCCATAGCAGAGAGCTGAATAGGAAGTGGAACAGTAGGTCTCGAACTGGCATCCACATGGGATGCCAGCACTGCAGGCGGCGGCTTAACTTGCTACACCACAATGCCAGCCCCCTCAAATAAATAAGTCTTTAAAAAGTAAAATCACTAGGCCGGCGCCGTGGCTCATTAAGCTAATCCTCCGCCAGCACCCCGGGTTCTAGTCCCGGTTGGGGCACCAGATTCTGTCACAGTTGCTCTTCTTCCAGTCCAGCTCTCTGCTGTGGCCCGGGAGTGCAGTGGAGGATGGCCCAAGTGCTTGGGCCCTGCACCCATATGGGAGACCAGGAGAAGCACCTGGCTCCTGGCTTCGGATTGGCGCAGTGCCGGTCGTAGCAGTCATTTGGGGGGTGAACCCACAGGAAAAGGAAGACCTTTCTCTCTGTCTCTCTCTCTCACTAACTCTGCCTGTCGAAAAAAAAAAAAAAAGTAAAATCACTGATTTCCTTCCATGACAACGCCTGAACAGCATCTTCTCCACAACTCATTCTGACACCTTATATTATGTGTAAGTTGTTCTTGTTTTACAAGCTGTCTCTTTAGAAAAAAACAGGCACACTGGGCGCGAGTGAGTATCTGGTAACTGCAGAGAAGGCTGTGCTGCCAAGCCTCTAGAGAAGAACCTGCTTAATCGAACAGACAAGATGTGGACGAGACCAAGAGAACCCAGGGGTCACGGCGTTCTCTCTGTGGCTTTCTCCAAAAAGCTGCAAAAGCAGGTTTAGCAATGGCACCACTCCCAAGCCCCCAGAGAGACCTGAGTGTGCCCCAAGAGCGATGCGCAGGGCCAGGCCCTGGAATGGCCTGGCTCACCCGTATCAGGAGAAAGCGCGAGGTCATAGGTCAGGGGCCGAGCATTTCTGTCCTCCTGAAAAGAAGACTGGGTGAGAACGGAAGCTGAACGGCAAGACTGTGCAGATCCACTCCTGTGCACAAAGGGCAGCTCTGCCCAAACAGTGGTGGACACTGGTGACATGACAACATTCCCAGTACAACTACTTTAGGAGCCGGAATTCCCTTTTGCACAGGCTGGACCAAGGCCTACTTCCCTCAAACTCCCAGAACACTGAGCCACCGGGGAGCTGACTACTAACACACTCCAGGGTCGGCCTGATCACAGCAGGGGTCAGCGGTCTGCAGAGGTGGGGGTGGGGGCCTCAGCAGGTGACTGCAAACTCCTGGGCTTGGCTGAAGGGAACAAGCTGGGGAGTGAGCACCGGGCTCCCTCCCAGGAGGGCTGCCTTTTCCGCCAGATGTGCATTTTCTGAAGAAACGCCAAGCGCAGGATTCACGTGTTGGAGTTTGTACCTAAACTGCAACTTTATTAACAACTTCTGTGGATGGGGCGGCACAGCTCTAAGTGTGCACGACGACATGCCAAGGCCATGTGTTCTGAGTTAGAAAGAGGCCACCAGCACACAAAGGGGCACCGCCGGCGACCCAAAGAGGGGTGGCGTGGGGGCGGGGCTGTCAGGGGCCGGGGCGGAGGGAAGAGCAGCGAAAAGCAGGTAGGGGCTCCGGCCTGGCAGCGGCTGCGCGAGCTGAGGGAGACCGGCGAGGACGCCTGGCCCGGCGGGAACTTCAGGGACGGCTGGGGCGGGGCGGGGCCGCGGGGTCGAGGCTCCGGCCGGCCCACGACCCCTACTCTATCGGGTACCGCGGGGGCGGGGATGGGCCCGGCCCGAGCGGCCTGGCCGGAGCCACGCTCCCGGTCCCCCCTTCCCCACCGGGTCTCGGCGAGGGTGGCGAGGGCAGTGGGGAGCGCGGCCTGGGCCGACCGAGGGGGCCTGGGTGGCAGACAAGGGGCGCGGGGGCCCGGCGCGAGGGGAGGGCGCGGCCCGCCCGGCACTCACTCTCGGTGACCCGGCCGAGGCGCAGGACGTGCTCGGGCCGGATGGTGTCCAGCGCCAGCAGCTCCTGCTCCGTGACCGCTGTCCCGATGCCGTCGTCGGCCGCGTGGTGGGGCGCCTGCCGCCGCGCCTTGAGCCTGTTCAGGACGCCGCCGCCCGCCTTCTTCTTCTCCTCCTTGCCAGCCACCAGCCCCCCGGGCCCCGCCGCCGACCCCGCGGCCGCAGCCTTCGGGTTCGACCCGTTCATCGCTCCGCCGCCAAGATGGCCGCCGCCTCCACAGCGCCGTAACTATGGAGAGCGGGGGCGGGGCCGGCGGCACCTGGGCGGGGCGGGGCCTGGGAGGGGCGGGGCCTGGGATGGGCGGCCTTCCTCCGGCCGCGGGCCCGGCAGGTGGTGCGCCTCGGGGGTCCCAGGGGTTTCTGCGGACTCGGCACGTGGAGATGTTTTTTAATATCTCCAGGAGAGAATGTCCATTAGAAACCGCGCTTTGCAATGCAAAGGCCCGTCGAAAGCAAGCTTCCGGAACAGACTCATTTCTGAGGCCTGCCTCCAGTGCCTTGGGCTGGGCCTTGTGCAGTAAGGACGCAGGCATGAGGACAGGGATGAGGCTCCCTTATTCACCACTGTATCCTGGGCAGCTTGGTAGGGGCTCCATAATGTGGGTGAGAGTGAGCTGTTAGTGAAAGTCTGAGCGGCCCCAGCCTGAGAGGGGGGGACTTCATATACTTCTGTGACATACATCACTCATTATGGGGACACGTTCCCTGGACAAGCCAGGTGGGAATCAACGAGAAAACAAGACTGCTGACTGCAGCAAAGGTGCCAGGAGAGCGCCCAGGAGTGGCTGGGCCAGGCCCAAGCCGGGAGCATTTCTCACTATCTTCTCAGGCACATTAGCAGCAGCCGGGACTTGAACCAGCGCTCAAGCATGGGATGCTGGCATCACAGGTGGGCACCCCCGCCCGCTGCACCACAGTGCCGGCCCCCAGGTTGTTGCGTCCCCAGGGAATCAGGATCTGTGTACCTTAGACCCCAGGTTGTTGCGTCCCCAGGGACTCAGGACCTGTCTACACTCCTCTCTGTCGAAAGCCTGGACCTGAGTCTGCTAGTCTCAGCCATACATACATGGCCAGGGTGAAACTCTACCCCTCCCTCGATGGGCAGCCTCCAGACCCGACTGCTGCCAGGCTTGGTGGGTCCCTCTCGCTGGACGTGAGGGGCGAAGGAGGAACCGACTGGCCTCGCCTGGTCCCTAGACAAAGTCTAAACGTGCCCTTGCCCCTGCCGCCCAGCTGGGTGGAACAGTCTGTGGCCCAGTTCCTATCTAAATGCTGTCCTGTATTTAAGAGATTAGCTTCTGGTGGCACTCACCAGACCCACTCAGGGGGATTCTAGTAAATGTGCTCAGAGACTTTGCAAGCAGCTCTTTTTGAACCGCTCAGCACTGAGTGGCTGCTGATCTGCTAGTGGATTGTGAACCACCAAGAGGGTGGTCCAGCACGCAGCTGTCTCCCACGGTCTCACTCACTCTCACTCCAACCTTGTTCTCCAAGCACCTGGACCACAGCCACCTGCTCTCTTCTTTCTAGGGAGGATGACAAATGTGCTAACTCGTTTACACTCAGGAATTCAGTCCACACGTATGCACGATGATTACTTCAGGGCCATCTGAAACTGACATATTACAGTAAATTACATGTGGGGCCACTAATGTTGCAAAGAATGAGATTGATCTATGCATGTACACGAGTACGGAAAGATCTCCAAAATATATTAAGTGGTTGGGGGGAAGCAAACACAGACTCTCCTTTATTTAAAATAAAAGGTATAGTCCTGCACTGCATTTCAGTCAACAACCAGCTGTCCATAGGATTAGATGGCCCTGGGGCCAGTGTTGGGGCGCAGCAGGTTAAGCCATTGCCTGCGACTCCAGCATCCTATACCAGACTGCCAGTTCTAGTCCAGGCTTTCCCGCTTCCCATCCAGCTCCCTGCTAACACACCTGGGAAAGCAGCAGAGGACGGTCCAAGTACTTGAGCCCCTGCCACCTACACAGGAGACCCGGATGGAGTTCCTGGCTCTCAGCTTCAGCCTGGACCAGCCCAGGCCTTTGTGGCCATTTGGGAAGTGAACCAGTGGCTGGACAATCTGTCTCCCCCCACCCCTCTCTCTTAAAAAAAAAAAAAAAATATATATATATATATATGGCCTACAGATGTTGTAGCTTAGTTTGTGTAAATACACGCTATATTTGCATGACGAAATCACCTAATAACGTAGTGATCAGGATGTTCTTTCAGTGATGCGTGGCTATCTCTGAATGTGGGATGTGTTTCTGTAACCGTAAAGGAGGCCTGCGTGAACCCTGAAGTGTTAACCGGACTTCATCTCCTCTGGGCGGGAGCATACTGGGTGGAGCTGGAAGGCATTTGTTCACTGCTGACACCAGAGTTTCTTCCATACTGTTCTATCACAAGCATATGATCATGGGCTGCTTGTGAACTTTTAGAGAGAAAATACCTTAGGATTTACGTCTGGAAGGCAGACACTGCCAAAGTAGCCTTATTTTCAAATGTAAAATCAACCTCAAACTTGATCACCCTTTTCTGCTATTTTGAAAAATTAAATACTGCCATATTGAGAGTGTCAGGGCCTGCCTGGTCACTGCCTATGATCTGTGGTGAAAAAGAAATAGACTGTCCTTAGAATAGAGCGTGTGCACACACACACACACACACACAGAATAGAGCACTGGCATTGTGGCACAATGGGTTAAGCCGCTGCCTGCGATGCTGGCATCCCACGAGTGCTGGTTCAGGTCCTGGATGCTCTGCTTCCAATCCAGCTCCCTGCTAATGTGCCTGGGAAAGCAGTGGAAGACGGCCCAAGTGCTTGGGCACCTGCCACCTGGCAGACCTGGATGGAGTTCCTGGCTCCTTCCTGGCTTTGTCCTGGCCCAGCCCTGACTGTCATGGCCATTTGGGGAGTGAACCAGCAGGTGGAAGATCTCTTTTTCTCTCTCTTTCTGTCACTCTGCCTTTCAAATAAAGAAATAAATATTTAAAAGAAATATATAGAACACATAAAAAGAAATTATGTAGAGGGCATATGATTACATTTTTTAAAGGTATAGAAAAAATCAGGCCTGTAACCTCCAATGTATCTTTCCCTACCAAATCCTCCTAAGGTGTGAGAGTATTTTTTAAAGTTTGTAGAGAATTGGAATTAAAAGATAAGTTGGGGTGAGCATTTGACCTTGTGGTTAAGCTATGGGTTGGGACACGTGCGTCCTGTATCACAGTGCCTGGGTTCAAGTCCTTGCTCCTCTTCAGATTCAACTTCCTACTCACGCACACTCTGGGAGGCAGCGGTGATGCGGCAAGTACTTGGATTCCTGCCACCATGTAAAAGACCTCCACTCAGGTCCCTGCTCCTGGCTTCAGCCGGGCCTATTCCCAGCAATTGGAGGATTTGGGAAGTGAGCCAGCAGACAGGAGCTGTCTCTCTCCCCCTCTCTCTCAAATTTATTTTGGTGCCCAAAAAACCTGGAAATTCCTTTATAATTTTTTGATACTGTGCATTTTCCATAAACTTTCTGAAGACTCCTCATATGTTAAAGGCTCTTTAAACATGTTGTTTGAAAATTACATATACTAACACTGTGTTTGGGGGAAGAAGGAAACCAGAATTAGTGTACTAAACAGCAACTCAGGATTTCCCTGGGCTGGGCGAGGCTGGCCTCCCTTTCACCCCAGCTCTATGACTCCCTACGGCTGGTTGTTTTCTTGCCTGGAAAAGGTATGACAGTGGCCCGTGTCCAGGGCAGACCCACAGTAACCCTGCAGTCTGCCTCAAATTAAGGTAGTCAGGTGGGGCCTGCAGCTGGTGCAGTCAGAGGCGAGCGAGACACCAGAGGGCCTCTTTCTGCCAAGCTGGAGAAGTGCACTGCTGCTTCTGCTGCCTCCCTAAGACAGCATGCATAGAATCAGCAGGGCATGGCTAGGACTGCAGGCAGGCCTTGTGGCCTGGGGCTAGGAGCTAGCAATTTCCCTCATACCCAAGTCATTTCACTCCCTGGCTGAGGGCTGGTTTTAAAAAGCACTAATTTACTATTTATATCCTACCTGGATATAAAAAAAAAATCTGTAGCAAATTCCAAAGTCATAGAGCACAAGGTTGGTAAGTAAAAATCCACAGAGCCTTGTGGATGGCAGTGCTTCCAAAGTATGTATGTATGAGCATGTTTGTTGCAGCAGCTTGTACTGCTAACAAAACATAAATACTACCTTAACATTCACCAGTAAGGAACTGGTAAACTATATTACAATCTAACCATAAGATACCGCACAGCCCTGGAGATAGAAGAAAATCTCCACGTACTGACCTGTCGGTATGCACAAGCTCTCTAAGACATACTAACGGGACTGGCACTGTGGCATAGGGAATAAAGCCGTTACCTGCAGCACCAGCATCCCCTGTGGGCACCAGTACCAGTCTTGGCTGCTCCACTTCCCATCCAGCTCTCTGCTATGGTCTGGGAAAGCAGTGGAAGATGGCCCAAGTCATTGGGCCCCTCCACCCTCATGGGAGACCCAGAAGCTCCTGGCTCCTGGCTTTGGATGGGTGCAGCTCCAGCCATTGTGGCCATCTGAGAAGTGAACTAGCAGATAGAAGACCTCTCTCTCTGCCTCTCTGTAACTCTGCCTTTCAAATAAAATAAATCTTAAAAAAAAAAAAAAAAGACATACTAAGTAAAAAGTATGGTGAAGAATGTGATCTTGTTTAAAGACCACATATATATATATACACATATGTATGTAAATACATATAAAAGATACCTACCAGGTCATCACCCATAAATCCTCTAGGGATTACAGGGACAGTCATGAAAACCATTTTTTTACATTTTGTACTTCATATAATTTTTAAAAATATTTTGTGTATATCATTTTTTAAAAAAGGTTTATTTTATTTTTTTGAAAGACAGAGTTACAGAGAGAGGTAAAGCCAGAGAGAGGTCTTCCATCCACTGGTTCACTCCCCAGATGACCACAACAGCCTTAGCTGAGTTGATCTGAAGCCAGGAGCCAGGAGCTTCTTGAGTCTCCCACGTGGGTGCAGGGGCCCAAGGACTTGGGCCATCTTCTACTGCTTCCCCAAGCCATAGCAGAGAGCTGGATCAGAAGTGGTGCAGCCAGGACTTGAACCAGTGCCCATATGGGATGCTGGCACTGAAGGCCAGGGCTTTAACCTACTGTGCTAGAGCACCGAACACTATTTATATGATCTTTTTAAAGGATTTATTTATTTGAAAGGGAGAGTGACAGAGAGAGAGATCTTCCATCTGTTGGTTCACTCCCCAAATGCCCCCAACAGCCAGGGCTGGGCCAGGCCAAAGCCAGAAGCCAAAAACTCCATCCAGGTCTCCCATGTGAGAGACCCAAGTACTTGGACCATCACCAAATCTTAAAAGGTTATTCTCTTTCTCAGAAAGAATGGGATAGACCCCCATGATATCTTAATCAGTTATCAGCATTCTAAAGGCTCCTTTTAAAAAACAGTACAAAAGATTAAATTGTAATTATGGCATTAAGAGGGCAAGTTTAGCGCTCAGACAGGGCCGGGTTCCAGTCCTTGCTCTGCCATTTACCAGCTGTAACTTCGAGCAGGTCATGACTCCCCCGAGCCCTTTCCAGGAGTGTTGTGAAGAGATGCAAAACAGCAACGAAAAAGCACTGCACCGATGCCAGGGGGTGTCTCATGAACACCCGCCTTTTTCTCCAGGCCCATGCCAGGGGCAGGCACACTGAGCCAGAGGGGAGAGAGCTGTGACTGAAGAGAAACCCTCCAGTAAGAGCTGAGAGGAAAGGAGCCAGGGACCAGGCCTTGAGGACTGACCTACATGGATTCCAGCAGAAGCAGTGAGGGAGCCCCAGGGCCTTCATACAAGGCAGGCCTGAGCTAAAAAGCAAGCGAGGCTGCCTTCTACTAACCTAAGTGGTTAGGAACAAACAGAAAACTAAGATGCTTGGGCCTGCTTGCTCTGAGCCCTCCATGCCCCGCCCTCTTCTGCCCTGACCCCTCACCATGGCTAGAGCAACAAGCTTTCCAGTAAGTGTTGGAAAATTTCATTTCTCTTCCTCTTTGGGGGATGGGAGGGCTACTAAGTTTGGAGAAAGGTCTGACACACCGGCTCCAGCCACCCGGGAGCCTGATTTCCTTAGCAAGATTAAGATCTGGACCCGAGGAGTGGTCCAACCCAACCCCGGGACTTGGCCCACGCTCTTTGGTCAGACAGTTTCCCTCCCTGCAGCTCCCTGGAGCAGGGCTTCTTCAGGTCTCTTCCCCATCTGGCAGCTTGTGTGAAGCTACTAGAAATAGTAACAGCTAAATCTGAAAGAGTAAAGAACTCTAGTTATGGGTGGGCTCAACCTAAGAAAGAGGCTCTGTGGGCCTCTCGGCCTGTTGGGGCCCTGAGGACAGACTCCATCAACACTGGCCTTATTCTTGGAGCCCAGAACTGACTTCTGCTCTCAAGGGGTAACTGATGGGGGCAGGCCAGACTCCCCTCCACTCTCCCTCCCCAAAACCAGTGGCTTCCATTCCTGCCTGGAGAAATACAGCAGGTAGATTCTGGAGCCATGTCACATGGCATCATGGGGTCACTTGGATTTCATTAAAATGATCAACTTAAAACCTCAGTCTACTGTAGATGTACTGAATCTGAGTCCTGCCTGCAGCTGCAGGCATTCCCCACCCCTGAAGTAGATAAGAGTGTCTTGGTTTAATGTCCCAGCTCTGGGGGCTGGCCCTGTGGCGCAGTGGGTTAAAGCCCTGGTCTGCAGTGCCAGCATCCCATACGGGCACGGTTCAAGTCCTGGCTGCTCCACTTCCGATCCAGCTGTCTGCTGTGGCCTGGGAAAGCAGTAGAAGTTGGTCCAAGTGCTTGGGCCCCTGTACCGGTGTGGGAGACCTGAAGGAAGCTCCTGGCTCTTGATCGGCGCCGCTCCGGCCATTGTGGCCATCTGGGGAGTGAACCAGCAGATGAAGACCTTTTTCTCCTTCTCTCTGCCTCTCTGAACTCTGCCTTTCAAATAAATAAATAAATCTTAAAAAAAAAAAAAAAAAAAAAATCCCAGCTCTGGGAGTGGGTATTGGCAGAGCGGTTAAGATGCCACTTGGAATACCTGCAACTTCTACGAGTGCTGGATTCCCAGCGTCCTAATGTGCACACCCTGGGAGGCAGATGATGCCTGATACTTGAGTTCCTGCCACCCACGTGCAAGAACTGAGTTCTGGAGCCCTGACTTGGGCTTGGCCCAGCCCTGGCTGTTGCAGGAATTTGGGGAGTAAACCAGCAGATGGAAAAATCTCACTGTCCCTCTGTCTCTCTCTGCTTCTCAAAGTGAAAATAAACAAAAAATCCTAGCGCTGCCTGTGTGGCCTTGGGCGAGTCACCTCACCTCTTACAGGGTGAGACTAACTGGTTTATGGAAGACTAAGCACAGATACCATCTCTAAAGGGCTTGGCTCTGGGCCCAGCTCATTTTAAGGGCTCAGTCAAGGATAGCTATAATGATTATTTCACAGCCTTAGAAACCATGGGTTTTGATGGCAGATAGACTGGGCTTAAATTATTTATTTGAAAGGCAGAGTTAGAGAGAGGCAGAGGCAGAGGAGTCTTCCATCCACTGGTTCACTCCCCAAATGGCCGCAACAGCTGGAGCTGAGCTGATCTGAAGCCAGGAGTTTCATCTGGGTCTCCTATGTGGGTGCAGGGGCCCAAGCACTTGGGCCATCTTCTACTGCTTTCCCAGGCCACAGCAGAGAGCTGGATTGGAAGTGGAGCAGCCGGGACTAAAACTGGCGTGGCTTTACCTGCTGCGCCACAGCGCTGGCCCCTTGGCTTCACCTTTCACAGATCAGCCATGGGTTAGTTACTGTGCTTTTTGGTTTCATGTTCCTCAGCTGTAAAATGTGGCTAATACATTCCAGTTAAAAATTCCTTCCCGCATCCTGCCCAACCCACTGTATGCTCACCAGTGAGAGCGCACCAGAAAAAAGGGAAAGGAGAAAGCAGAGGAAAACATGCTGTGGCTCAGCTTGTCCACAGGCTGGCTGGGAGGATAAGGGAAACAGTGCCAGAGGCAGTGACAGGCCTGATGTACTTACTTCAGGGTCTGGTGTGCCAGTGAGAGTGGAAACAAAGTAACTGTTTTTATCCCTTGAATTTGCACTCACAGATGAAATGGCCAGCCAGGGTTTTACTGTGTAGCAATCATTTCCCTGACCAGGATGAAAGAAAAGCAATAGACACGCAGCTAAATGCACAGTAGCGCCCAGCCTTGACACAGGAGGAGACCTCCTCTTGGGTCTCCCCTTTTCCCATCCCATCATGTGATTCTGCAATAGAAAGTTCAAACTCAATCCCAACACTGAGTGTCACTGCAAATTGTTTATTAAAACACAAAGCAATGGACAGTGAAAAACATCCTGATTTTTTACTTTTTGGTGGGAGTAGGGTGGGGCATGGAAGGGGTAGGGACAGACAGAGACAGCCCAGAAAAAAACAGCTCTATCCACCCCTACTTCTTCCCTGGCCAGCCAGGTTCAAAGCCCCTCAAGTACATCTAACTGTGCCGTGGGAAATGCGTGTTGTGGCTACAGAGGGTTGGTCTGACCTCTGCAGGGAGAGGACGGAACCTAGAGAAGGAGCTACAGGGCTACTAAGAACTTGACACCTTGTCTCCAATACTTGGTACAAAACAGAGAAGCCAGGCTCAATCTGGAGGGTGGGGTTGGTTTTTCTGACAAGCCAGATTAGGCTAAAAATGGTCAAAAAGGCTGTCCTGAGCTCAGAATGGGCAGCTGATCCTACATGGGAGAATTCCATGGAAAGAAAAGGTGAAGTCCCTTAAATCCCAGGAGGGACCTAGCCCAGGGTCAAATTTCTTTTCATTCCCTGGATCACGACACACCAGGAAAGAGAGGAGTCGAGAATGTCTCTCCCCTGGTTTTGCCACGGTGCCTCCCTGCTAATTCTCCCCTCCCACTGGCAGCTCAGCTCCCCTCCCCGACAGCTGTCCTTTGAAAGGACGGAAAGCACACTTCAGTTTGTTGTTTTTTCTCATACTGAAATAAAGCACTGCCGCTCAAAATAGAGGTGAGAGTGGAGCTCTGCCTTTCCCAGTGCCATGTGCCCCCACCTCACACGACTGCCTGGATCAGGAGGTGCCAAGGGCCTCTGCCAACTCGAACAGGCACTGTTTCCCTGGCTGCCAGTGCAATCCTAGCTCCTTGTTTTATGCTCCTGGGTGGAACTCGTCCCGAGATCCATCCTGCTCTTTTCCTGCCAACCCGACCAGTCCCCAGATCATCTGTTCTTGTCAAGATGACTTGGCCACCCAAACAACTGGGGAAGGACAGGCCAGAGGGGCAGCAGCCACACCTGTGCAAGAAGAAACACGCCCTCCCCAGCAGCTGACCCTCCAGTGCCCAGCAGCTCGGCCAGGACACGAGGATGGCCAGCCTTCTTGCCCCAGAAGTCAGGAAGCAGGAAGAGTCCTCGCTCGTGCTGAAAGGGAAAACTGCACTGCTTCTCTGAAGCGCTAATGTGAGGCTTCTTTGCAATTTTCCTGGGGCTCTTTGATCCCTAATTGTATCTTCCACAGGAGAGAGGCAGATGTCTTGTCAGATTTCTGAACAGACCCTGGGTGCTTGTGGCCCTGCCTCCGTGCACTAGCACGTAGCCCTGCCCCAGCCTCTGTCCTAAGGGCCACAGCAGGAGGGAGCCCCAGACATCCCTCCCCCCATGTCTTTCTTAAAAACAGGAGCATCAACTGGTCTCTCCCTTGGGAAAGCTCACCTGCTCTCCTAGGTCCCTTTGGAGAGGCATGGAGGACAATATTCCATGTTGCCACTTGGTGCCATTAAGGCTCCTCAAGGCAAGAAGACACTTGAGTTACGTCAGAGGAGGCCAGCAAAGGGGAGAGGGAGGGTGGGGATGCAGCTGGACCCCTACCCAGACCTGAATCTAGAGGGAATGCCCACCCTGGCGCAGAGCAGGAGAGGAAAAGGCACTGTGCTGACCAGGGTGGGTCCTTCCCCAACCCCCAGGGAGGGTAGGGAACCTGCTAATCCTTTCCCTGGGCTTCCCAAGGTGAGCAGATTTCTAGGGAAAGGGATATAAGTGCTAGGAAAGGGAAATACTGCTGCCATTCCTGAAGTTCCCAGCTGAGATTCTAGAAGCCAGAGCCAGGCCTTCTGAGAGGCTTAGAGGCAAGAGAGAAAGGAAGAGAAATTCCTTAAAACAGAAGCTTCTCCAAAAGAAAGCTGGGCCAGGCAGATTGCAGGCACAGAAGGGGGAGGTAAACTTGACTCAGACTGCACCCTCCTCATCACAGCCTGTGAGCGCTCATGTGATCCCAGCACTCAAGAGAACACAACTGCGCTCTCACACAGACAGGCGGCCTGCAGCCAGGGAGTCTACCACCACTGCCACCTCGAGATGACCGTCACTCAGATCCCAGAACTCGGTGTGCCCTGAGCAGCTTCTCCTCAACAGTGGAGACTCTTCAGAAAAAACGGATTTGCTTTAGGGGACGTGGACCCCCACAGATATTGTCTTGGCACGATGTTTCAGTCAGTTAGGGTGACAGCCAAAAAAAGTCCCATTGGAAAGCGGATGGCTTGACCCAAACCCGGCCTGGGCTGTGCACACTCGGCTTATCTCCAGCAGATGTCTCTGCACAACCCTCCGAGGAACTGACCTGAGCCACGCTTCTAGTGAAAGGAGCTGCCCCCTGGCTCTGCTCTTGTCTTCAGCCGGCTGAGACAGTCAGTGCAGCCGAAGAGCCCAGGCCCCTCCTCCCCACCTTGGACTGGCATCACCCATCACCTCCCGAGACCAGGCACACACCCTGCAGTGCAGTGTCTCAATCCTAGCACTAGCTCAAAATACAGACGGGGGAATAAACAGTGCAAAAAGCAAAAGATGAACAACAGAGTAATTCTTGACACACGCAATTAAAAAAAAAAAAAAAAAGAGTGCCCTATCCCACCCCTTTCACCTAAACTTCATGTACCTATATCTTCTGGGAGGAGTGCCCCACCTCAAAGGAAAAAATAAAAATAAAAAAAGCTTTCAAGTTCAGCATCATGAGCCAGCTGTCGCCAGCCCTAGGCAGCTCTTGCTAGCCCGGTGGGCTTGGCTCCAGGGGAATCTACCCCAGCCCCCACCATGCTTTTTCCTGTTTCCTTCCATCCCCTTCAGTTTTTGTTAGCCTTAGAAAGATGTTCCTTCCTTTCAGTCACAACCAAAGAGGAAAGCATCCATCCCTACCCCTGAGTCCAGGGGAAAAGGGTGGGCTTGGAAACAGAGGCAGAAGCAAAGCTGCTTGGCTTACAGTACCGTTAGGAAATGGCCCCAGGAGTCAGGGTTTCCTTCTGAGACTCTGAGTCACCAAAGGGATGGGCTGAGGTGAGGCAGGATCCCCTCCTTCCTCAGAGAAACCCAGGCAAACTAACAAACAAGGCAAAACGCAGACAGTACTGGGTCCTTGATCAACTTGTCTAATCCACTGGCAGTGGCCCATGCTTTTGGGAAGTTGTGATGGAGCAGGAACCAAATTCACTGTCAGAAGCCCAATTAGATGCCCACTGCCCCAGACAGGCTGTCCTTAAGACCAAGGCTAAAGTATCATCCTCTAGAAGCAGGGGCACTTAGGGAAGCACTCCAGGAGTGTTCCATAACCATCCAGCCGCCTGACTCCATACCCTAGGACCGACATCCAAGTCACAGCAAAAATAAAGGGCCTTGATTCTCAGAGGACTGAATGCAGGCCTAGAGTAATCACCAAGAGCCCAAGAGCTACTTACTTTGTCAGATAAGGAGTAGTTCAAATATATGGGGCTCTTAAAGAACACATCTAGTAAGGCAAACTCAAAATTAAACACATACAAGAAAGATGAGCCTGGCCTGAGCGTCTCTGGTGCTCAGCCCAAGCCGAAGCTAATTCTGCTGCCTCCCAGCCACAGAGTTCCCTTTAACTTGGCCAGGTCCTCCCTCACCATTACCCTCACTGGGAAATGGATGACCGTGATCAGAAAGGAAGGCACAGGGAAGCTTCACTTCCTGCAGCAAAGTTTCCAGGGAATTCGAGACAGACACTTCGTCGCCAAGGTTAGCTTCAGAGCTGCCAGGTCCATGGCTGACTGCAGCCCATCACAACCAAGAATCTGACTGCTACTCAGGAAGGGTAAAGGCCGAAAGCCATACTATTCAGTAAGAGATGTCACTGGGCCAGTTTAGCCAATCAGTCTAGTTCCTTGGGGCAGTCTAGATGTCAACCGAAATTGGTTGAAGTGTGACACAGAAGGACATGGGGAAAAATGAACGTCATATAGGAGACACTCTAAACAGTGGTCAGTCACTTAGTAGGGCTCAAGTCTCTGAGGTTGCTCTTAAATTATGCTAACATAAGCCTTTCCTAATCTAGAGATCAGAAGAGACTTTTAAGGTCAAGTGTTCTGTTGCTGCAGGCTGGAAAGCATCCCTGCCCCCTGGCAGGGAGACCCTAGAAAGGGGCCAGTGAAGAACTGCTGGCTCAGAGACCCAGGGAGGGAGGTACCAACAACGTGAGGCAGCAGAGGGTAAGACATTCGAGCCGAGAGAGCCCAGACCCCCATGTCTTCTTCCCTTCTTGTCAATAACTTAGTGGATGGTAAAGAGGGAGAAGAGATTTCAAATGAGCGAGAGTAAGAAACAAATTGACAAGAAATCAAGTCCCCAACAGGCACTAAAATCAAAACAATCTGTTGTGGTACCGTGTCAGAGGCAATCTGAGGACCTGACAAAGTAATCGCCTTGGATACCAGACAGTCCTCTCACTGGCACAACAACAAAGTTCAAATACTGAAGGTGGAGCAGCCACCGGACTCATCCAAAAAGGCTTCAGGTAAATGCTGACTTTTCTTTTTTAAAAACATCCTTCTTTCTTTTTGTCTTTACCTTGCAAATTTACACCTTGACACACATACTCTCTCAATCCCAGGATATCTGAAAACTTATCTGGATATAACTTTAGAATTTCCAATTCCCAGTGCTGGTCTTCTCAGGCAATAAGATGACAGCCCCCTGCTGTTAATTACTAACCTAAAAAGAGGAACCACCACTGCTCTAGTTCAGAGTCCTTTCCACTAGGTATACAGACATGGACCCCTGGACAGGAAGGGTCCAATTTACCCCAAGTACCCTAGAAAGGAAGAAACGGTTGGGGCCAGCCACAAAGAGAGCACTAGGACTGAAGCAGGTCTGGGACCAAGTGGTGGATGAGGGCTGCTCTCCACTCAACCCCCCTCTTTTCGTTTCCTTTACTTTTTGTGTGTTTTTTGTTTTTTTTGGGGGGGTTTTTTGTTAATCATTTTGAAAAATACAGAAACCAAAACCAATATGTTTGGTTTCTTTCCCACACCCTTCCATCCTGTTCAGGATGGTCATTTATTCTCACAACCGGCAGAGGCAGAAGAGGGTTGGAATGAAGACTCCAAAGGCCACCAGGATGGGAAACATGAGGCTGCTGTTGTCCGAGGCATAGGGGTTGGGTGTGCGGGGGCCCGACTGCACCCGGTTCTTATTGGTCTGTCTTTTGAGATTAGACCCTTCATCATATTCTTCTTCTTCCTCTTCTTCTTCTTTCTTCTCTAATCCTGGATGAGGCTGCAGCTTTGGTACATCTAACACAAGACAGAAAAAACTTGTTAACTAAGACTGACCATGTGTAAGGGAGATTCCCTCAGAGCAACAAATGAGCAACAATAAAGAGGCTCATGGAACCTGAACCAGGGTCTCAAGGAAGGAGCAAAAGTCCCCAGACTACAGAAGAGCAGAGTGTTGCAAACACTGGTCTTCAAGTTTACTTCAAAGTAGCAAAACCCCATCCTTAGGGAGGCTCCCAATCTTCCCTCCTTGTCCTACTTCTTCAGAGTCCCAAGAAGACCAGACTGGACAAGGACAATGACCTGAGGTATAAAACTTTCCAAATTCCTCTTCCTCAAGCCCACATTCCCTTTTAATTCACATAAACTCAAGAGCTGATCCACAGAGTTCTGGGTTCTCAACACACACTACCCCTCTGTCCTGCCACCTCCTTAGGGACCTGTTTGGTGGTGATACATCATAACATCAGCATGTGGGGTAACGACAAGACAAGAGGATGAGATTGTCAGTGTGTTCAAGGTAAATTAAGGGTGGGCATTTGACGGAGTGGTTAAGATGCCACTTGGGATGATCACACCCTTGTATCAGAGCAGCTACGTTCAGATCCTGACTCTGCTCCCAATTCCACCTTCCTGCTAACATGAATTGTGCAAGGAGTGCTGATGCCTCAAGTGCTTGGTCCCTGACACCCACAGAGACCGCAGATTGAATCCTGTGCTCCTAGCTTTGGCCTGATCCACCCTGGCTGTTGCAAGGATTTGAGGAGTCAATCAGTGGATAAAAGCTCTCTCTCTCTCTGCCACTCTCCCTTTCAGATAAATAAATGTTAAATAAATAGATAATTTAAAAATATCTTGTTTAAAAAGAAAAAAAATGGCTGGCGCTGTGGCTCACTAGGCTAATCCTCCGCCTGCGGTGCCGGCACCCTGGATTCTGTCCCGGTTGCTCCTCTTCCAGTCCAGCTCTCTGCTGTGGCCCGGGAGTGCAGTGGAGGATGGCCCAGGTCCTTGGGCCCTGCATCCGCATGGGAGGCCAGGAGGAGGCACCTGGCTCCTGGCTTTGGATCAGTGCAGCGCGCCGGCTGTAACAGCCACTTGGAGGGTGAACCAATGGAAAAAGGAAGACCTTTCTCTCTGTCTCTCTCTCTCTGTCTAACTCTGCCTGTCAAAAATAAAAAATAAAATAAAATAAAAAAAGATAAGAAAAGGCATCAAGGCGAGACAGAGATGGAAAGTCACTAAGACACAAATTTTCTCTGCAAAATTCAGCCCAGGATGCAGCAGCTGGGTCGTCTAAACCTGAGAACGAGCTATGTGCTAAGGCTGGACCCCAAAGACAGGGAGACACTAATAAGCAAAGCTCTGTTCCAGGGCAGTCCAGCAACGCAGGACACTTCCAGAGCATACCAGAACTCTAACGGACTCCTCCGTTTGCCTTTTTCTCCTAAGAAATAGATGTTGAACAACGAAAACAGAAACACACAAGTTTTCTTTAGCAATGAGCTAAATTATCTCCCAAGGGTTTCTTCAATCTTATCCTTCAGCAGAGTCAAAAACCAGGTCCAAAGCAGCACCTACCATCCACTGTCCCAGCCAGGATGTAGAGTGCACAGACTTTGGGATTGTCGTAGTAACCCTAGGAAACAGAGAACAGGGTCAGCCCCACACCGCAGCAAACACCTTCCCCACACCCACTCTGAGCCCTTCCTGGGCTGTGAGGTATACGACAGGGGAGTTACCTTGACGAACTCAATGTAGAGTTTCCCTGTGAAGGTGGACACCTCCCCCTGGACACTCAGCTTCCCCTTTCTGATGCTCATAGGGATGATTTCATCGTGAGCTGTGCTGTGCCCAACACGGTCAAAGATATCCAAGTCTTTCACCACGACATGGCCATTCAATCGTACATCAAATACCTTTCAGGGTTAGAAAAAGAAACATCAAAATCGTCAGCTTCACATACTTTTAGGCAGTGGAACATCACGCTCCTGATCTAAAAGCTAAAAGAAATGACGGGTCTGGATATACTCCAGGGTGACTGGAGTCCCTGACCCAGGCCAAATCAAAGCCACATCACTCAGGGCAAAAGAAGTCTCCTGGGGCCAGCGCTGTGGTGCAGTGGGCAAAGCTGCAGCCTACAATGTCGGCATCCCATACAGGCGCCAGTTTGAGTCCTGGCTGCTCCTCTTCCAATCCAGCTCTCTGCTATGGCCTGGGAATGCAGTAGAAGATGGCCCAAGTCCTTCGGCCCCTGCACCCACATGGGAGACCCAGAAGAAGCTCCTGGCTCCTGGCTTAGGATTGGCACAGCTCCAGCCTTTGAGGCCACTTGAGGAGTGAACCAGTGGACGGAAGACCTCTCTCTTTCTCTACCTCTGCCTCTCTCTAACTCTACCTTTCAAAAAAAATAAATAAATCTTTAAAAAAAGAAATAAAAAAAGAAGTTTCCTGCTGAAGAATCAAAGAATACTAACAAAAAACTCAATGGGAAACAGGGAAGTGCTTTGAAGAGAATAAGGCTAAAACAAGACAGGGAGGGCCTTAACAGGACCAGTAAGCTGCCAAGAACAAGGACTCTGACACTGCTTTCTGTCACCAGCCCCAGAGGCAACAGAACATAATTTCTCTAGAGGCAGAAAGAATCCAGCTTTTCCTATAAGTTCATCATCTTGTGGGGAGGCTCTTATACACTCTGGTGCCACAGCAGACTGTCCAACAGTAGCCACGTCCAACAGTCAAGCAGGGGCCTGACCCCGCCTCACCTTCTGCTGGGACTGTGCAAAGTAGACCTCAGCAAATTTCAACACCAGCACATAGTCCCCCTCCTCCTTGATGGGCACTTCATAGCCAAATGTCTCCTCATTGTACCGCTCTGTCTGATAGAGGATCTGGTCCTCAGGGTTGGAACGCAGGATTGGCAGTTTCATGCCATAGTCTGAGGCTGGGGACAAACAACAAAGAGAAAACACATCAGAAGCAAGACAGAAGAGCAGAGAGCCCAGAACTGCCAGGGGCATTTCCAGGGCAATGCTAATAACCCTTTCGGTAGGAGACCCACCCTGCTGCACCTGGCTCCACACAGGCAGGAATCAGAGAGCTATTACCCAAGAATACAACAAAGAATAAACACTAATCACCCCAACAATCCCCAAAACTTTTTTTTTGAAGCACTATAATGGCTTTCCACCCTGACTGCATGGGGAATGATGAGAGCACAGGCCTAACCTACTACCTGAAGAGCGGACTACACCACAGCCCCCGGTTCCCTAAGAAGGACGGCTTCCAGGGAGAGGGCCAGGAACTCTACACAGGATAATTCAGTCCAAAGAATGATTTTTTTTTCCTCGTTCAGAAAAGCTGAGTCAAAACCAAACAGGATATCTGGATAGGAAAGTCATTTTTCATTATCTTTACTACAAATACGACACCAACATTAGTCATTTTCGCACAATTCTCAGTCAAAAAGTTCCAAGGCTGATAAACAGGCTCATAAAAAGAAGGGTATAGGCTGGCGCCATGGCTGAATAGGCTAATCCTCCACCTTGCGGCACCGGCACACTGGGTTCTAGTCCCGGTCGGGGCACCGGATTCTGTCCTGGTTGCCCCCCTTCCAGGCCAGCTCTCTGCTGTGGCCCGGGAGTGCAGTGGAGGATGGCCCAAGTGCTTGGGCCCTGCACCCCATGGGAGACCAGGAGAAGCACCTGGCTCCTGCCATTGGATCAGCGCGGTGCGCCGGCCACCGTGAACCAACGGCAAAAGGAAGACCTTTCTCTGTCTACGCTGCCTGTCAAAAAAAAAAAAAGGGGGGGGGTGTAGATGCTCTCCACTTGCCTTTAGGTCTGTGTATCTTGCTTCCCACAGACTCACAAATTCCTACCTCGTTCTCTCTTGGACATTTCCTCAGTTTAAACTTCAGAGGAAAGAGTTCCTACCCTATCTCCAGAGCAAACACAGGGATGGTTTGCTGGGAAAGGCCTGCGAAGCAGGGAAGCCAAGCCATTCCCTCTGTAAGGTAAAAGTAGCCTGCACACAGAGAATCTGCCAAGGTCTTCTGGCTTAAGATATCCAAGTTACCAAGGAGGCCACCCTTCCTGGTTCACAAACTGACAAGGAATGACACAAAAATAAAAAGTGACTTAAGGCCAGTGCTGTGGCTCACTAGGCTAATCCTCCGTCTTGCGGCGCCAGCACACCGGGTTCTAGTCCCAGTCGGGGCGCTGGATTCTGTCCCGGTTGCCCCTCTTCCAGGCCAGCTCTCTGCTGTGGCCAGGGAGTGCAGTGGAGGATGGCCCAAGTGCTTGGGCCCTGCACCCCATGGGAGACCAGGAAAAGCACCTGGCTCCTGCCATCGGATCAGCACGGTCCGCTGGCCGCAGCAGCCATTGGAGGGTGAACCAACGGCAAAGGAAGACCTTTCTCTCTGTCTCTCTCACTGTCCACTCCGCCTGTCAAAAAAATAAAATAAAATAAAATTAAATTAAAAAAAAAAAGTGACTTAAGTCACGTCAGGAAGAGCCAAACGTCTACTGCTCCTGTTTGTGGAGATCAGTGTGGGGTTACTTAACACTCCTAGCCCTCTCCCAACTTGGGGGGGATGAGCTGTATCCATGCTTGCTTGCTTTCTCCCACACCACACACCAAACTGGGGTCTTTGCCCAAATATGACATTTCCTTTCAAATGGTTAGGTTTCCTTCTAAAGAAAACAGCCCGATTCCTTTACCCTATGAGCATTAGGAAGCTTCCAGAAATCTATTCCCCAACTTTGGATGCCCCAGTGCTACTATAGTCTCTCCTCCAGCACGGCACTGAGATTTCAGGACTGCCCTCCAATCTCACCAGGTGGCACTGAAGACACTGGGCACCTACATCCTTTGGGAGATGCCTAAGAGCAGCCAGCCCCTGAGTGTTCCCTTCTAAATCATCAAAATTTCAAGAGACACGGTAAAAGATTAACTGAAAGATCCAGGGGCTGAGGTCAAGCCCTCAACACAATAAACAAAGCTGCTAACAGTTCCTGTAAGTGACATTAGCCATGAGATCAGATGAACTGATGAGACAATGGGACGGAAACTCAGGGCACTTCTGTCTGTAGACTTTTTTCTTTTCTCCTCAAGAAATCAAAGAAGTGTAGCTGAGTGGTACCACAACGGATGTACCTCTAACATGCCCCAGACTCTTTCCCAGGCTCAAAAAAAAAAAAAAAAAAAAAAAAATTGCCCTCAGTCAGGAGCCTACAAAGAGTTAAAAAAAAAGTGCTAATTCTCTTCCAAGTGAGCTCTAAGAATTTCATCCTTCCACGTGAATTGTGGTCCTGACAAATGTGGAACATTTATTAGATCTGATGTACTGATATACAGAAAAGCTTACGCACGTGTGGGGAAAGCAAGCAACTGGCAGTAATATAATCCGAGGCAGTGCCAGTTCCACAGCGAAGGAAATCCAGTCATGTGAACAAAATTACTTAACAACCCTGAAATTCCCTTTAAGTATTTCCCTTTATTTTTAAAACATTTATTTATTATTTATTTTCATTTACTTGGAAGGCAGAGAGACAGAGACAGAGACAGAGATCTTCCATCCTCTGGCTCACTACCCAAATGCCCACAATAGCCAGGGCTGCACCAAGCCAAAGCTGGGAACACAGAGCTCCAGCTGGGTCTCCCACAGGGGTGGAAGGAGCTGCCTCCCAGGATGCATCAGCAGGAAGCTGAACAGGAAATGGAGGAGCCAGGACTTGAACCACCACTCCCATACAGCGTGTACCCATCCCAAGTGGCAGCTTAAGCTGCTGCACCACAACACCCAGCATTATCTTCCCTTTAGCGATCTGCCACACGCAAAGTTAAATTTGCCCAAGTCCCAAGAGATGCAGCAGCAAAGAGGATTTTTGTTCCCTCCTTAGCCTTTATGCGTTTGCAACTAAACAGATCCCTTTAAAGGACAATGCAGCGTGCTGTCAGCTCAGCCAGTCTACGGAGAAGGAACTGCTTCTCAGTTCAAGACAACAGAGCAGCCAGGTTCCCTGCAAAATTCCGCCCAGGTTTTAGAGTAAGACAGGCCTGGATCTGAATCCTGGCTCTGCCACCTATTAAGTGACGCTGAACAGGTAGTTTTCTTGAGGTCTATTTTCTCACCTATTAAGTAGGGATATCACCTGTCCCACAAAATTGTGGTGAGGATAAAAACATCTATAAAGAGTTTAATACAGGAGCCAGTGTTGTGGTGCTATGGGTTATATTGCTGCCTACAACATCAGAATCCCATATAGGCGCCGGTTCATATCCTGGCTGCCCCGCCTCTTCCAATCCAGCCCCCTGGTAATGCATCCACGAAAGCAGCGGAAGATGGCCCAAGTGTTTGGGCCCCTGCACCCACGTGGGAGATCTGCATAAAGCTCCTGGTTTCAGCCTGGCCCACCTCCAGCTGATGCAGCCATTTAGGGGGTACCAACAGATGGAAGATCTCTCCCTTTCTAACTGCCTTTCAAATAAATTTTAAAAATCAGGAAAATAGTTTCATTCAGGGCCCAGCATTGTGGTGTAGGAGGTAGCTACCACCTGCAATGATCCCATATGGGCACCAGTTTGAGTCCGGGCTGCTCCACTTCTGATCCAGCTCCCTGCTAATGCACCTGGGAAAGCAGCAGAAGATGCTCCAAGTCCTTGGGCCCCTGCACCCAAGGGAGAGACATGGATGGAGTTCCAGGTTCCTAGCTTCGCCTTTGTGGCCCTTTGGGGAGTGAACTAGCAAATAGAAGCTGTCTCTTTATCTCTTCCTCTCTCTCTCTCTTTGTAATTCCTTTTTTCAAATAAATAAATAAACCTTAAAAAAAAAAAAAAGGAGTTGGAGCTGGTGTAGTAAGCAAAGCCGCTGCCTGTAATGCCAGCATCCCGTATTTGGGCACTGGTTCATGTCCTGGCTGCTCACTTCTGATCCAGCTCCCTGCTAACAGCCTGAGAAAAGCAGCGGAGAATGGCTCAAGTGTTTGGGCCCCTGCCACCCACATGGGAGACCTGGATGAAGCTTCTGGTTCCTGGCTTCAGCCTGGTCCAGTGCCGGCTGCTGTGGCCATCTGGGGAATGAACTAGCAGATGGAAGATCATCTCAATCTCTCTCTTTCTCTTTGTAACTTATTTTCAAAATAAATAAGTCATTTTTTAAAGTCAGAATTACAGAGAGAGAGAAAGAGAGGCAAAGAGAGATCTTCCATCTGCTGGTTCACTCCCAATTGGCTGCAACGGCCAGAGCTGCACCGATCTGAAGCCAAGAGCCAGGAGCTTCTTCCAGGTCTCCTACACGGGTGCAGAAGCCCAAGGACTTGACCATCTTCTAATGCTTTCCCAGGCCATAGCAGAGAGCTGGATCAGAAGTGGAGCGGCTGGGTCTCGAACCAGTGCCCATATGGGATGCCGGCACTGCTTTAGCTGCTAAGCCACAACACCAGCATCAAAATAAATTAAAAAAAAAAAGAAAAAGAAAAAAGAGCTCAAAACAGTGCCTGACAGAAACAGACAGGTATGCTAGTCAGACAAGGAGATGCATACAATAAGCACTAAATAAATGCCTCCAACCTAGGGAATTAGGAGAATAGACAAAAAGGAAGAAGCAGCAATAAAACTCATTGAAAACTGCAGCTGGGAAGCACAAGCACGCAAAAAGCCAAAATGAGTGGAACCAGGTGTATGTGAGACGCGCTCCCTGGCACTCCACTCTGCTCAGCGCGCCAACATGAGGCCTCTGACCGCCAGGTTTTCTTCTGCATCACTTCTTTCTCAGTGAGGTCCGTTCCTAAGGAATCCTTCCCAACGGACAGAGGCAGAGAATCCAGGACTCGGTGCACTTCTGCCACCTGCACACGCAGCCCGTCGGGCAAGAATTCTAAACAGAGGTCACGGTTATAAGTGAACCAGAGGCAGCTCGCCCTGTCTCTGTCTCGTCCTAACTTTCCAGCTGTTATCGTCACAATCTCCACAGGGTAAATCCTTCCCCAGGTCAGATGAAAGTGGTCCCCAGGAAGGAGTCTCCCTGGGGAGACTGAAGGCACCAATGTGCTAGGCGAGGGTCCCTGCCATCCTTTCCCCCGCTCTGGAGCCAGGTTCTGCCCAATTTTTAATTCCAAGTAAAAGGTCACCAAGCAAAGAAACACGCAGTGACACTTTAACCTACTCTTGCCAGGGAGTTTTCTAAAGCCTAAGTTTTACTGAAAAGGAAAACAAGGCTCAGAGAGGCAAAGCAAGTTCCTCGAGGTTATAAAACTTCAGCGACTACGTTTCTACGAAGAGCAGAGTCTTCCCCTGAGCCAAGCCAAGTTGTGTCCTCAGGTCAAATAAGCGGGCCTTTTCCAAGTCAAAGTCAAGAGGAACCAAACATGACCAAGTGAGCCCGGACCGCGCAGCAAGCCCCAAGGTAAAGCTTGGGAAGGAAGGCGTTCGGCAGTGCTACTTCCCTCTGAAGCACGCAGCTGGGAAAGACATTCCCGCGCTGGGAACGCCAGCTCTCCTCCAGGCAGAAATGAAATCCAATAAACATTATGAAGTGCCTTGGAAAGCATAAGCCACCAGGTGCCCTGGGCCACTCACCACTTGCAAGAATGCTGAACTACAAAGGAACTACAGAGAAACAGCAGGTTCAAAAGCAGGCCAACCCCTTATCTGGACTAACTTGGCAACAGACAGTTGAATTCATTCAATACAAAATGAACTTTCCTCAGCATACTGGAAATAATGTCCCAAGCATGGAAGAGAAACAAGGCACACGCTCCTAAGGCAGTTAGAACAAAGGGCTGCATGAGACAGGGTCTCCCATAACTGGCACACCTGCACCCACTCAGGGCCATAGACCACCAGGTCAAAGCTGCACCGCCTTTGGTGAGGCCGACTTCTAGGCAAGCAACGCTGGGGTGTAACAGGTTAAAAACCCCCTGCAGCGCCAGCATCCCATATGGGCGCTGGTTCAAGTCCTGGCTGCTCCACTTCCGGTGCAGCTCTCTGCTAATGCACCTGGGAAGGCAGAAATGGCCCGGGTGCTTGAGCCCCTGCACCCATGCTGCAGCTCCAGAAGCTCCCGGCTTTGGCCTGGCCCAGCCCCAGCCTGCCACATGGGAGGTGGGGACGGAGTTCCTGCCTCCTGCCTTCAGCCTGCTCCAACCTCAGCTCTTTCAGGCATTTGAGGAGTAAACCAGCACTTGGGAGATCTCTCTTTCAAATAGATCTTTTAAAAATTTTTTCCTCGTACCAACATTTTTATTTTGGGGGGCTAGTGTTGCAGTGTAGCAGGTTAAGCCACAGCCTGTGACACCAGCATCCCATATGGGCACTGGTTCGAGACCCCACTATTCCACTTCTGATCCAGCTCCCTGCTGATGTGCCTGGGAAATCAGGGGAGGATGGCCCAAGCGCTTGGGCCCTTGCATCCACATGGGAGACCCAGAAGAAAACTCCAGGCTCCTAGCTTTGACCTAGCTCAGCCCTGGCGCTCCAGCCATTGCAGCCATTTGGGGAATGAACCAGCAGATGGAAGCTCTATCTCTCTCTGTAATTCTGCCTTACAAACAAAAATTAAAAAAAAAAAAAAAAAAAGAAAGAAAGGAAGAAAGAAAAAAGAAAGGCTGCCTCCTAAGCTGGGGAAGCTTAAACACAACCCTAGCTCCAGATCAAATATTTTCAAGAACCTGCTAAGCGCAATGCTGCAACAAACTGGTCCAAGCTGTCTCCCCAAGTCCCCCCACTCCCATGTCTTGTACTGCTACACTTCTTACCCAACTGTGCAGACTAAAGCAGGCAATCTCCATTTACTCCACACCTCCAAGGCCAGTGTCTGAAACAGGACTCCAGCACCCATGCGCCGTAGCGAGTCTCATGTAATTTTACCTGCTACAGAAAACTCGTCCCAAGGAATTGCGACCACGAGCCAACAACCTAAGGACAGACAGCCTGAATGCTGCCCAGGCCCAAAATAAACAAACCACTGCACCAGCAAATTAAAATCAGAAATGCAGAACAAGGACAGTACCTGGAGACTAAACCTGTGTGGTCTTTGCTTTCTCCTCTGCATAGCGGACCTAACAGAGCCATGTTATCAGCTAAAGTGAAAGGAACCATCTGCACACTACCCTCTCTGTTGCTATCTCAAAGGCAAAGTCCACAAACCGTCTCCAGTTTCCTCAAGGGCTCCTTCCTCCCTGCCCACAAGCGTGAAGAAAGAGGAAGGGTTGGTCCAGGATGGTGATGGCAATGACCTCGTGCTACAAAGTCTGGCTTTGGCTGCTGTTACGGCAGTGAAGACCAGAGAGGCCTGACTCAGCTGAACCCAAGCTACCGCGCAACCTACATGCCAGGGCCAAATCAATTCCAAGACAAACAGAGAACTTCAGAAAACAGCCCTGTGCCCCAAGACCCTCACATGGATGAGAGCAGTAAGCTCCTGACACCACAAGGACACGGCAATTAACTTGGAGGAACTGAGTGAGCAAGAAAGTGTTGTCCCCTCGCTGTCTGGGGGTGGCTTGTTGCCAATTTGGCAGCCTCTGAACCCAGCACACAGCACAAATCTCCTTCCAACACACGAAGCAAGGAACTTCCTTCTTAAACCTGCTTTCCTATCCTATCTGGAAGAAACAAACAGTCCAAAACAGACTTTTTTTTTTTCCCCTCCAAAGACTGGTCTGGAGCAAGCTACATCAGAAGCCCATGGTACAGAAACTTGGGTCCCTGCAAGAAAAAAGTTTCATTGATTAGAGCTGGAGGGGAGGCCCAGCAATCTGCATTTTGACCACCTGCCTGGCAACTCCTACCCCTGCTCTGAGATCCCCGCAGCTTTGTCACAACTCTCGTTGCCCACTTCAGCCACAAGCACTTCCCCCCCACCCCCAGGCTGGAATCTCACTCTCCAAGATCACCTGGGGCAGGCTGGACCCACTCTCATAGTCACACCCTTTTACACCGGCTGGCCCAGCCCGACACGCAGCCGCCAGCCCCACGCGCTACTCGGCTTCAACACAACCACCCCGCAGCTTCTACTTGTATGCACACATATTCCTCGCTCCAAAGGAGGGCGGGGAAGGAGGCCACAAACTTTCCTGGCCCATCCTCTGCGAAGATTCCTTGCTACGCTGGCTGAGGACCAAGCCCCGCTCCTGCAGAGGGGCACGGCAAGCGGCCCGATGCTGGGTCGGCAAGAATCTATCGGAACCGTTTGGAGAAGGCAGGGGCGTGCAGCCCGGGAGGCCTCGAGGTGGCGAGAGGCCGCCCGCATCGCCGCTGTCCCAGCCCGGGTGCGGGTGAGGGGTTGAGAAAACGCAGGATGCGCGGTTCAGACACAACTTCTCGCCAACTCTCTGCCTCCACGGCTCTTGGGCGCTTGGAGCCAGCGCCGGGCCCCGAGCTCCGAGCCCAGGTCCCTGAGGAAGCTGCAGAGAAACTTCGCTCCCGCGACGTGGCCCCCGGCTCGAGGAAGGGGCTCAGGACCAGACCGTCCTCCGTCGCCTGAGGCCAGCACGGCGGGCCCGGCATCCCCGCGGCTCGGCCGAGGGGCTCTCACCTCGGCCCACCCGGCCTTCCAAAGGGTCCTTGCGGAAGTGGATCCCGTGTACGTCCACATGGGCCTCGCCGCCCGCGTTGACGGCCCAGATGACGCTCTCGGGCAGCCCGGCCCCCGCCGCGCGACCCACGCCGAGCCCCGGCCCCCGGAGCGCCAGCAGCAGCAGCAGCCGCAGGAGCGCCACAAGGGCTCCCTCCACCGCCCGGGCCCCCAGCATGGCGGCCACCACTGCGGGAGCAGCCCCCGCCGGTTTCTGTCCTCGGCCGGCCGCCAGGCCGCCCCGGACTCAGAAAAACAGCGCCACGAGCCGCTCTGCCTCAGCCGCCGGGGACATGTCGCTCTCAGGCCTCCCCCTCAGCCACGGGTGCCGCCTCCTACCTCAGGAACAACCTACCCCGCCGCCCAGCCCCCAAGCCGCGACGCTGCAGCCAATCAGCACGCGGCCCTCATGAATTACCCACCACCCAGTAGAGAGTCGCGCTCTCATTGGCTGCCAAGCACGGGGGAGGGCGTGGCCATTCCCAGGCGCCGGCCCAACCATCGGGCACGAGACGGAGCGCGCGCAGAGGGAGGGAGTTCGGTTGAAGCGGCGATTCGATGCGGAAGTGGCGGGTGCAGCGCCCAGGCGGCCCCGGAATCCCACAGCTGAATGGGAAAGGTGGCCTGTGGGGGAAGGTTTAGGGGAGGGCGCACTGACACGTCGCCAGCACTTCCGGTGCTCCAGTTCTTGAGACCGAATGGGCTGCACGGGGTGGAGGGGGGGGGCGTTGGTGACTTTCCCGCCCCCTTTTCCATTCTCAGGGAGAGGTATGAGCGTGAGCTCCACTTGAAGCAGTGGACCCTCTGCCAACCCTAGCCGCGAGAGGCAGAGGAATCCTGCTGTCCCCGGGGAGGCCGCAGGCCCAGGCCTGCAGGGCACGAATCCCACGAGGATACAGCCCCGCCCCCACCCCTTCGCGGGCTCGGGACGGGGTGGTAGCGTCCAAACGGCCGTCCAATCAGAAGGCTCCAACGCAGCGGAAACGCGTGGCTCTGTGAGGGAAGGGGCTGCAGGCTGCCCGCGTTTCCATGGTGACAGCCTCTGGCCGGCCTCGGCGGCGCAGGGTCCGGGAGAGTGCTGGCCGCAGCGAGGGTCCGTCGCCGGCCCTGCCCAGTCTGGTGGCCTGAGCCGTCCCGCGTGGGCATCGCACGCGCCGTCTCCGTGTTCGGCGCCTCGCCTGGAGCCCCCTGTGCCGCGGTCGCTGCCCGGACTCCCGTATTCCTGAAGGGGAAACTGAGGCCCAGAGAGAGGCTGGGTGTTCCCACGTGGTTTCTCCGCTAGTTTAGGGCTGAACCAAGACCAAACAAACAGAAAAGAATATTCATTTGTTTCACTAGTAGGTAGGGCTATCAGATTTAGCAGACAAACTACAAGAAGCCCGGTTAAATTGAATTTCGGATAAACACATTGAACACAGTGATGCTAAAAGTCTGGAGCTGTGGCGTAGTGGTTTAAGCCCCTGCCTGCGCATCGCACCCCACATGGGCGCCAGTTCGAGTCCCGGCTGCTCCCCTTCTGATCCAGCTCTCTGCTGTGGCCTGGGAAAGCAGTGGAAGATGGCCCAAGTCCTTGGGCCCCTGCACCCGCGCAAGAGACCCGGATGAAGCCCCTGGCTTGGGCTTGGCCCAGCCCTGGCCGTTGTGGCCATTTGGGGAGTGAACTAGCAGATGGAAATGTCCCCCTGCCTCTAATTCTGCCTCTCAAATAAATAAATCCTTTAAAAAAAAAAAAAACCTAAAGTGCCAGTGTAACTGGACGGATTGCATTTTATCCGACAAGCCTGCTTACTATGTGCAAGGCAGTGAACTTTGTACTGCAGTGAGCAGAAACACCCAGGCCCTGCAGAGCACTCTGAACAACCCAGGAATCAGTTATTTAGAACAGTGACTTGTGCCACAAAACAACCCAGGTAACAAAATGGAAGCTATCAGTGGGGGGTTGAATGCACAGAATTCCTTCCCATGCCCCTGGGGTATCTTTCCAAGGCTTGCCTGACAGTGCCCAGGCCTGCAGAGCCCTCAGAGCAGGGCTCCTTGCAGAAGGGAGGACCGAGGCCCTGAGCTGGTGGGCTGCCCTCCCTCCCATGCAGAGGCCTGCAGAGCCCGCGTTCTTGCCCCGCACACTGCACTGCTGCCAGGGGAGGCTAGTCCAGGGGCCCAGGCTGTGGGGTAGCAGGTTATGTGTCCACCTGCAGCGCCAGCATCCTGTAAGGGCACCAGTCTGTGTCCTGGCTGCTCCACCTCCGACCCAGCTCCCTGCTAGTGGCCTGGGAAAGCAGTGGAGGATGACCCAAGTGCTTGAGCCCCCAAGTGCTTGGACCCATGCACCTTCGTGGAAGACCAGAAGCTCCTGGCTCCTGGCTTTGGTTTGGCCCAGCTCCGGCTGTTAGGGCCATCTGAGAAGTGAACCAGCGGATGGAAGACCTCTCTCTCTCTGTCTCTCTCTCTGTCTCTCTCTCTCTCTCTGTAACTCTGCCTCGCAGGCTAGTCCAGGAGATACAGTCACAGAAATGGATTAAACTAGTAGGGAGCCCTCAAAAAGCTGAAAATTGGTCTTCTTTGAATACCCCCCGGTCTTTGATCATCTCGGAGGAGAGGGGGGCGGATGAGATACAATGCCAGACACCATTCATTGGGCTTATTAGACTCCATGCCTGCTTGGGCCACCCAGGTCCCAAGGATTCTGGTCTCCCTTTTTTTTTTTTTAAATATTCATTTATTTATGTGAAAGGTAGAATTACAGAGAGAGAGGGCGAGACAGAGAAAGATCTTCCATCCACTGGTGCACTCCTCAAATGGCTGCAATAGTCAGGGGCAGGCCAGGGTGAAGTCAGGAGCCTGGAACTCCATCTGGGTCTCCCATATGGGTAACAGAAGCAAAAGCACTCGTGCCATGGTCCACCGCTTTCCCAGACACATCAGCAGGGAGCTGGTTCGGAAATGGAGCAGCAAGGACTTCAATCGGGTCTCGTATGGAAGACAACAACGCTGCCCTCTTCCTGCCCATCTTCCCCAATTCCCACTGCCTGCTGGTCTCCTTTTTGAGACTGAGCTGCTTGTGGGTCAGACCATCTCTCAGGAGCACGTGCATTCTGAGGCCCTGGAGACTGGGTTCCGTGCCCAGTTCCATGGCTGGCCGACCGTGTGGCCTTGGCCAAGAGACACAGTCAACTGTCACTCACTGCACATGGGTTCTGCATCAGTGGATTCTACCAAACATGGATCAAAATTATTCCAAAATAACAAACTGTACTGAACATGTCCAGCCTTTTCTTCCTCGTCTTTATTCCCTTAGCAATGCAGGGTAACGACTTGTGTTATTGTTTTATGTATTATAGGTTATCTAGAGATGATTTCAAGTATACAAGAGGATGTTTTGGGTAATATGCAAATATACTGTTTGATTTAAGGGACTTGAGTATCCTCGGATTTGGTGGGCAGAAGGAGGAGGTCCTAGAACTAACCCTGGGTGATATCAAGAGACACTGTGCTTTTCTGGGTTCCAGCTTCCTCAGTTGTGAAATAGAGATAATCACAGTTTCTATGTCAAAGGGCAGCTCTAAAGATTAAAGAGGATAATTCAACCAGAGGAGGAAGGAGGAGAAGGTCGCAGTGCACATAATAAAGTCACTCAGCTTCTAATGTGAATAGGTAAATAGGGAGGTTACCGTTTAGATACCCCAGGACGTATATCCATAACCAAAATGTAAGTCATCCTGAGCGCCCCCAAAATGTGACCTGCAGACATAAACCACACACAGGCAAGTTTTTTGTCCTTATCCACGTGATCCAGTGGGACTAAACCAATCGGCTGTAGGCAGTTCAGCTTACACAGCTCTGCCTTTGAAAGAATATAGGACAACCCGTCCGAAAAAAAAGGTCAAACTGTTTCCTCTTGGATGCACTATAAACCGCGCTATCCCTGCTATAAATGGCGACTTCCTGCCACCTTTGGTTTGCCGTCTTCCAGTTCATGGGCTGTTCTTTAGTGTGCATGATCAACTCTTAAAACTGTAGCTCCATCTGGCTTTATTTTTGACAGACTAGCGCTTGACACAAACAAAATGCTCAGCCAATGGTTACCCTGAAGCAAGAAGCTCCTCTCGAGTTCTGCTTTCAGCAACTTAGACCAGCCTGGTCCTGTAAGCAGCTGAGACCTACAAGGGCGCTTCCACAAGTTCACGGAAAACTGGAATTGAAAGCTAAGTTGGGGGCCGGCGCTGTGACTCATTTGGTTAATCCTCTGCCTGCATTGCCGGCATCGCATATGGGCGCCAGTTCTAGTCCTGGTTGCTCCTCTTCCAGTCTAGCTCTCTGCTATGGCCCGGGAGGGCAGTGGAGGATGGCCCAGGTGCTTGGGCCCTGCACCTGCATGGGAGACCAGGAGGAAGCACCTGGCTCCTGGCTTTGGAGGATCGGCGCAGCACCGGCTGTGGCGGCCATTTGGGGAGTGAACCAACGAAAGGAAGACCTTTCTCTCTGTCTCTCTCTCACTGTCTATAACTCTACCTGTCAAATAAATAAATAAATAAATAAAAGCTAAGTTGGGGCCAGCGCTGTGGTGCTGTGGGTTAAATCCCCAGCCTGCAGCGCCAGCAATCCTATATGGGAGCCAGTTCAAGTGCTGGCTACTCCTCTTCCGATCCAGCTCTCTGCTATGGCCTGGGAAAGCAGTAGAAGATGGCCCAAGTCCTTGGGCCCCTGCACCCACATGGGAGACCTGGAAGAAGCTCCTGGCTCCTGGCCAAGGATCAGCTCAGCTCTGGCCGTTGTGGTCATTTTGGGGAATGAATCAGCAGATGGAAGACCTCTGTCTCTCTCTGGCTCTATGTCTCTATGTCTCTCTGTAACTCTGTCTTTCAAAAAAAAAAAAAAAAAAGATAAGTTTATTTGTGGTTCTGAAACACTGAAATCCATGCATAGCTTTTTCATCATATGTACTTTTTGAGGACCTCTCATATACATGGATTTCAAACATTTTTTGTGCCAGAATAAACTGATCTGTACATTCCATTTTTTCATGAGTTTTTTGAAGTGGCTCATTTGCTTTCAGGAATGCACGGCCCATGGAGCTCTCGACAAGTCAACTGTGGAGGTTCCGGCCTTGTCAAACCCCTTTCGGCAGGTGGACCCAGAAAATAGCCAGTTGCCATGGGGGCTGGTGAATCATGCAGTAGCATTGAACAGGGGACTTCCTGACGCAAGTATTAGTCATTTGGGGCCAGCACCGTGGCCCGGCAGGTTAAGCCGCTGCTCGCCCTGACAGCACTGGTGTCCCGTATCTGAATGCTGGTTTGAGCGCTGCCTCTGATCCAGTTCCCTGCTAATGCACCTGGGAAGGCA